AATTAGTACATGCACAAGACAGACAACGTACGCAGACACTCTTCCCTGACAAGTTCTCACAGAATAGAGCTTTGGAATGTCATCAAAGCAAGATGCAATGGAGGAATTTTTATTAGCATAGGTGGAGACTGCTGGAATTGCAAGGTTTTGTGAAAGATAGGGTACAGCTGAAGATGCACACACACACTCAGTTTCCCCTGGACTAGCCTTTTTGAGGCCTTCTTTGAGTTCTCATGGAAGGCTAGTATAAGAGGGAATCAGTTGAGAATTTTCTGCCAAAATTATTTATTTTTTAATGAAATAATATTAGCAACGGAAAAATAGAAAAGTAAAGCTTTCTGAAATGAAAAAAAGAAAAAAAAAACAACAAAACACGAACATCCACTTTTATTTCTTACGTGCACTCCAATTCTCACTTAGAAAATAAAAAACAGAATGCTCAAAGATACGAAATCTTGTCCATAACCACAATATTGTGTTCTCTGACCTGAGTGTTTCTTTCCTGATCATTTCCATAAAATATTGAAGTGTAATTTCACAGAATCACAGAATCACAAGGTTGGAAACGACCTGCAAGATCATCTAGTCCAACCACCCTCCCATTCCTATCAGTGCCACAAGCTACTAAACCATCTCTCGTAGCTCCTCATCCAGGTGCCTCTTGAACACTGCCAGGGACGGCTACTCCACCACCTCCCTGGGCAGCCATTCCAGTGCCTGACCACCCTTTGAGAGAAAAAGTTTCTCCTAATATCCAACCTAAACCTCCTCTGGTATAACTTCTTGCCATTTCCTGCCATTCACTGTCAGTGCACTTTGTGGAAACTATGGGAAGAATGTGAGTTAATTGATTTCTGTACTTGGTCGCTAGGATAATTTCACTCAAGTGTTTGACTGGAGCTGATGGCCAAGCAGGATACCAAGCCTGTATGGAAGACTCAAGACACTAGAATCTAAACTTATACAAGAAAAGAAGTGAGGCAGAAGGGTAGAAAGTGTAATGATACAGATTAGTACTATCTGCTTTAGTTCACATAACCTGAGGCATTTTGATTTTAGAGGTATTTCAACATTTGCAAATTTTCACCTGTATCAGGAAGCAAAAAAAAAAAAAAAAATGGTTCAGAATTTTCAGCATCATGAGCATTTGAAATTTTCTTGGAATATTGACTGTGATCTATTTATGAACTGACAGAAACTGAGTCACTGCTTTGAAGAGGTGCATGCTTATGTGCCCCAAGAAGGAGGTCATTGTTCATTGACTCAAAACTGCCCAAGAACTTTATTTCTTTCAAATTCCAGGCAAAAGCATGAAATGAAATGAATTTAATTTTCAGAGCTGATTTCCCTCTCATTTTCTTCCCACGTCAGAAGCACGACTGAATAAGAATTGTTTTCTGAGTAAGTTTTCAATGTAGCAAAGTTGCATTGACCTCAGTTTTGACCTTAGATGCTTTAAACCCATGACCCCAATTTTAACTGAATCATCAATCTTCATAAGTATGTATCTATAACTGTCAACTAATATAATAAAAATTGTATAAAAAATCTGTCTAACTACTAAGATGATAGCCACCACTGACACCAGAAAAAGTTAGTACAATAATTTGCAGTTTATATGACCTCTTCATCAAAGTTTAAAACACTTTGCCAAAATAAACTCCACAGTAGAGCCTTGAAGATCATAACATTTATGAAACATAGGTAAATAATATTTGTGCTGTAAGCACATTCTTGAAATTTCAACAGAACTAACTGTATTGTAATTTATTTTTTTTTAATAACTGGAATCAGAGTTAATTAAGGCTATATTACAGAATTCGTAGTATACCAATACCTGCAATAAAAGTTAAGTGATTTCTAACTGCCTCAACTTTTCCTTTGAAACTTAGTTTCCAAAGGTTCATCAGCTTTTAATGCTTACTCTCCCTTTATGACTCAGAAGAGTTCTTTACAGTCTTAAAAAGCAGCAGGAAATTCTCTAGAAACATTTGTGTTCACTTAGTTCTAAGACATCATTTTCTCTGTAGCTCTGGATATTTTGAGGTTGCTTCCATTCATTATAATTTTCATCCTTCAGTCTGTGTTTCAATCCATATGCTTTTCGACTATTTTTTCACTGCCTTTGATAAAAAGCACACAATTATGCCAGGTGCTCACTTTGGCCGCAATCCCAGGCAATGCTACAGGCTTGGGGCAGGGTGGCAGGAAGACGGTATGGAAGAAACAGACCTGGGGATGTTGGTTGATGCTTGGCTGAACATGAGCCAGCAGTGTGCTCAGATGGCCAAGAAGGCCAGCAGAATCATTGCTTGTATCAGAACTTGTTGCTAGCAGGAGCGAGTAAGTAATTGTCCCTCTGTGCTCAGCACTGGTGAGGCCACACCTTGAGTACCGTGTTCAGCTGTGGGCTTCTCACTACAAGAAGGATCTGGAGGCCCTGGAGCGTGTCCAGAGAAGGACAACAAAGATGTGAGGAGTATGGAGCGCAAGTCTTATAAGGAGTCAGCCTCTTCTCCTGCATAACTAGCAATAGGACTCAAAGGAACAGCCTACAGTTGCACCAGGGGAGATTCAGGTGGGATGTCAGGAAAAATTTCTTTTCAGAAAGAATGGTTAGGCACTGGAACAGGCTGCCCAGGAACTGGTTGAGTCACAATCCCTGGAGGTATTCAGGAAACGTTTAGATGTTGTACTAAGGGACATGGTTTAGTGGGAAATACTGCTGGTAGGTGTATGATTGGACTGGATGATCTTGGAGATCTTTTCCAACCTTGGTGATTCTATCATTCTATCATTGTTTTTCACATAGGTCACCAGCTCGCTAAGTCTTGTTTGAAATTTTTTCACACGTTTTTGCTTCTGTTTTTATAGTTTTGTCTTCTGTTTTTATTACTATGTTACAAGAAAAGTCATGGCCCTAGGTTGCAGCTGCCATTTGCCCAACTACTAATAAAGAATTATCATTTCCTTTTTCTCCAGTTCCAAATTCCCTTGGGAATGGAGTTGTATCCAGCCCAAATCCAGCCCATGAATTAAGTTCCTAGAAGCAGCAGTAGCAGGAGCCTCTAAGCTATGGCAAGTTCGCACCCACCACCATGGGGCGTATCATAGACTCATCTTCACAAACCAATAAAGGTGTTAGAAGAAGATATTAGGAGTGTTCTAGTGTTTCAGCTTCAGAAAGGGTTTACTTAGCTAGAGTCAGATTTTCTGTGACATTTGATATTGTATGTGTTAAAAATGTCCACCTGAAATCCACTGTGCAAAATCATCCTAGAAGGCCAGGCATAAAACCAAACTCAAGATTTAGATTATGTAGGGACTTCTAAAAATGAAGACAAAGCATTTTAAAGCACTTCCTGTGCTTAAGACTGCTTTAGGCTATCCCAGCTCATATAAATGAGAAGGAAGAAGGCATCAGAAACAGTTCTAATTGCGTTCCAAGAGAGGAAACCTGTGCAATTCTGGGCACAGCATTCACCGTGCACATTTTGACTTCAAGGAGTCTGATCCTACTGTGTTCAAAAAAGCAGTGCTTTGTGTGAGTGTTTTCTAAATGGATAGAAAAAATGCCAGGCTTCTACCTTTAGCAGCTTCTCCTAATGGAAATAAAGACAGCAAGGCTCTCAAAATTGCATAACTGTCCTGGCAAAAAGGACTCACACAGCAATCAATTTCTTTTTACCTCCAGATGAGCTGTCTCTATACAAGTGGGTAGCAGAGATCTTTCCACGCAGTGCAAGACTTAAGACATCCCCATGCTAAGTGCATGTTGCTGCCTCTCTCACTGAGCCTGAGCTCCCTTCCTGTTCTGTTGATAATTTGATGGCTTTGAAGAAAGCAATTGATTGCCAAGTTAAGATATTTCTGAAGTGCTCTAAGATAAATGCTTTTCTTTGAAGATATGTTGAGAGAGAACTCCAGGAGTATTTCCTGTGGCCATTATCAAGAAACGTCACCTAAGTACGGTAGGATTAAAATAACTCACCAAGCCCAAAGAATGGAAAAAAAAAATAAAAAATAAAAAGAACTGTACAGAGGACACATACAGAGGACACAGAACATTATTAAGCATTAATATGTTCACAGCCAGGAGATCTAATTTATAGCACAAAACTAATTACCTGACTTGTTTTTCTCTCTCTTTTTTTTTTTTTCCTACACTAAACCAATAGTTCTGGATCACAGATAGCAGACAGATGATCAACCACAATACACCTACACAAGGACAGATGCAGAAATTCAGCATTTAAATATCAAAGTTCAAAAGAGAGAAGGAAAGTCTCTTCTGGAAATAAAAGCATCTGGGATGATGTCTAGGAGAAAAGAGCTTTTCCATGGCAACCCCGAAAGGCTGCTGCATTCACAGAATGTCAATTCCCACTATGCAGCTATTAATCAAACTCCAGTGAGGAGGAGATTGGACAGTGAGGTAAACACCATTGACCTCATTTAAAAATAATAATAAAGATTCTCTTTAAATATTTTGCTTCCTTATGAGCCTGCAACTGATTGCAGAAGGCTGCCCTTCCAACAAGACAATATTTAGTTATTTCAAGAAAACTCTATTTAGGTCCAGAAAAACAAATGAAAATGTCTTCAGTCTAAACTCAGACACCAACAGAAATTTGTCCTCTGAAATATTGGTCCTGTAACACCTTCTTATCTGCCTGATAAGGAATGAAAATAGCCATTTTTTAATGCCTCCTCTTTCAAAAATCCAGACCCTCCAATTCATTTTCAAAACAGTGCTGCTATATATTTAACTGACAGGAAGATTTCCAGAGAGGCAAACCTGAACTGTGTACTCAGCCTATGCTGACAAAAACAGAAAAGGCAGTTTGAAAGTGAAGGGGGACTGATAGACAGCCCCAGCTGTGTAGTTTCTCCCCCATCCCATCTCTGCCTTTTTCACTTGGACAGTTCATTGCCTTCTACTTTCAAAATGAATACCCGTTTCACAAAAAATAATGCTCTCTGCCCTGACAGATACTTACATTAATTGTGCCTCTACATGCTTCTGAACTTCTGTGACTGATCTGATGGACAGAAAAGAAATCTCCTTTCCCTTAACGGAGTAAATGACTCAGTTGTAGCTGAGAGAAAGAGGATCAACAAAGCAATTGACACCTGTAAAATGAAAGTGTGCTTTTATCAGGCCGTCCTGATTTCTTGCAGCTCTCCTGTGCAAAAGATGCCTAGATTGGTTGATTATACCGAGATGTCTCAGGACGAGAGAAAATCAGGCTCCCTTGGCACACCAGGGTATATGCAGTGGACATACATCCCTGAAGACCACCTCCTAAACAGGAATGCAATACAAGTGGCAGAGGCTATTTCCTCCCTCAGGAGAAGGAGACTCTCAGAATCCCTAGGGAGTACCACAGGGCTTGTGCTGGCAGCTGAGCTGTTCCACCCTACACAGTCATCAGATAAAAACTGGGGGGATTCCCCTCAGAATCAAGCATTGGAATCAATCACAAGGCTAAGTGTTACTTCAGACACTCTGTCACAACAATAGTTGCAGTCTAGTCCACCTTTCAGAGCTACTTCACTGAAAAAATGGGCTTTTCTAATACAAGAAGCTCAACTCATTCAATTATTTTGTTTCAGAAGAAACTGAAGCAGGACTCCTGTTTGCTTTAACTGGTCTGCTGACTAAAGAGAAAAAGACATGATCATCTACTGCCCATTGTAACCATTTGCCTGGTAACAACCACCTCAGAAGTGTGGCTTGTCAAGAACAAGGAGTGTAGAAATCCTTTCAGGTCTGTTTCAGTTTTATTTGTGAAATTCCATCACCTATGAAGATTCAGGTAGCTGATGGGTCTTCAAACAAGAATAGTCTAGTTCTGGGTCTAAGATGCCTACAGCACAGTATCCTTTCAGTAAAACATTTCAGATAGACAGCTGCCATTTGTTTATGCTCTGAGACAAAATATTTATTTATTTATTTATTTATATATTTTAGGAGCTCACCACCTTTAGCTTCTCTAATATAAGAAGCAGAAACATGGTGATACTGGTTTTGTGTTTGTTTTGTTGGTGGCGTGCTTTCTTTCCTAAAACCTCATTTCCAAGCAAATTCTTGCATAGGGTAATTTTGAGGTTGAAACTGAAGGTGAAAATTAGCAACTCCATTCACAAATATGCCTTATCCATCGTCAAAAGTATTTTTATAACATATTTTAAATGAGCTTAAGTATAAATGGCAGTGAGCTTTGCCCTCTAGTGGAAAATGTAGTAAACTACAATAAACACTTGAAAACACAACTTCACACTTAATATTCTCTTGGACAGTTCATTGGGTTGAAACTTTAATTATGTTCATGCATACATCTGGACACTATCTTTCTTTATTGTTTCTTTTTTTATTGAGTGTTTGCTGAATGGCTGGAGAGGCAGCAAGTAAGTCAAGGTGCACATCCCTTATCCCAAGGAGTGATGAGTAGTAAGGGCAAACCCAAGGAAATGACAGTCCCTGTTTAGTACAGAATAGAAATAAATTTTCCAAATATTTATACTGCTTACATAACAGGTCTAACAATTTTAACTATCAACTTTTAGGATACATTAAATGTTAAGTTACAGTGACAGTTCTCCAGAGAGTTCCCAAAAAGGATAGTCTTCTCAAAAATTCTTCTCATTCTCCCCAGTACTGTTTCAGAAGATCAATTTTTATATATTTATTTTTGGGGATCTTAAGGGATTGGAAGACAGGACTAACTAGTTTAATTAAATTAAGAGTACCCCACGGAAAAAATGCAATGGTCATCATTTTCTGCATTCTTGATCAAAGTCTAAAGCCCACAAAGGCTTCATCTAAAACACAGATCTCCCAGTGATCTCCCTTGATGACATAACCAATTAAAATGCTACTGCTATGAGAGTAATTCAAGGAAAATTAAAAGGTCATCCAAGGTTTTCTTTGATAGAATACAGCACTCTTCAGTGATTTATGGGCTATGGATGCTGCTGCTCAACCATTTAAGGATGCAGATTTAAAGAAAGACCAAGTTTAATTTGAAAATAAGAACTTGCATATATATATATATATACATATATATAAACACACATAGGCTGCACCAGAATTAATACTTCGCACTTTGTTATATTTGCCAATAATGTCAGAGGAGGATGTTCATAATATGGCAGTAAAAGTTGAACCTTCCCAAAAAATATTTTATTTTATTTGTGTGTGACAGATGACAGCAGAGGGGCAGTCTGACAAAATGGTGTCTGACATGGAAGTGTGTGTGAAGGCATGGATCTGAATTCCTTTATTAATTAATTTCTTTATTAATTATAATTCCTTTATTAATTTCCTTTGAAAAAAAATGGCAGCTATCAAAATTCACTTGCTGAACGTTCACAGAGACCAAACACTGGATGTGAGCACAGTGAAGTGGTGGGTTGTGTGTTCTAGGGGCAACAGCAACAGTGGGTCACCTCTGCTAGTGCAGATCTTTGTGAGAGCAGCATGGAGTCTCTTACTCACTGCTGGTGAGGAATGCATAGCCAAGAGCTGTAACTATGTTGAAAAAAATAGTATTTTGTAGCTGAGAATTTGCTTTATCGAACAGTGTTATAATGCTCTTTGTATCTGTTGTAGTTTCCATGGAAACAAATCAGAGGCATTACTTTTGGTGGATTCTATATGTGTATGTGTGTGTAGATATATATATATATATATATATAAAAAATAGGAGTTCTTTACAGCTATAGGAAGAACCCTATTATGTACTTCTGCTAATACAGCATAGAGGATCTGAGTATGGGAGAGAATTTATGAAGTAAACATATAATGAAAAAAGTCAAATAGATGGCATGGCTCTTGTGTTTACATTGTATAGGAAGAATCTGTATCAAAGAGATGTGGCTGCATTCATCATTTTGAAAATTCACAAAGTTTGCTTGGAATAATAACAGTTAGTTGAGATAAAACTTAAAGATTCAGAGGTCTCACAGTCTTGCCCATATGGATAGAACACAAATGCTTGAGCTATCCTATGACCTCTGCATTCAAGAGAAGAGCTTTGGATGCAAGTGCTATTAGAAATTAGAGGAACCACACAAATTTTCCATGTCTAAGCAATTATACAGCAAGAGTATCAGTGATAAAATGACTAACTTGATATTAACAAAAACATTTACACTATCTTAATTATTTTCAGTCAGCTCTCTAACCTGTCTTCCTATACAAATCTAAGTTTCTTGCAGCATTCATTGTCACTAGAAAACACCTATTTTCGTTACAGAAAATGGATTCAGTCATCTTATGAGATGTTGCTTGTTAGTTTGTGTGAACTGTGTGTGAGCCCTGCAGTGAACCAGGAAAGTTGCTGAAAAAAACTTGATCATAAAATCATTACTGCTCAAATAAACATGTCAGCCCCACTTAGCAAAAATTAAATCAGGAAACAAAACCCAACCTAGCAAACGTGAAAAAGTCAATTTTGCTCAGAATGCCTAAAAGACAGAATGGAAAACTGTTTTGCCTTTTTTGTTGTTTTTTTTTAATGTAGTTGTTATTTTGTGTTCACCCTAATTTATAAACTCCACAGGGCAGTAGGAAGTAAATCATCACTCTGTCGATGTTGCCTATGAACTTAAATTCTGTTTACAATCAGGGAGAGAGAGAGAGGCTTCTTCAGGCATTTCCTTCAGAGTATAACTACTGGCTAGTATCTGTGGAAGTGCTACTTCTTTCCCTAGCAGTCTTAGCTCCCAATGGGCTGTGTGAATTTAACTCTGGTGCTTCCCCTAATGAGGAAACCATGATGTAGCCCAAAGAAACAGTACTTAATATCAGTGTTTTAAACTCTGGCATCCCAAGTGAAACAGACCATACATTTCAGAGTGAAATCTCCCAGCATTGATGGTTGAGAATTTCCTGTCAGATGCCCAGAGAGGTTGCGGATGCCTCCTACCTGAATATTCAAGGCCAGGCTGGGTGGGGCCACCTGGTCTAGAGGGAGGTATCCCTGCCTACTGCATTCATGCAGGATGATCTTAAAGGTCCCCTCCAACACAAACTATTCTATCAGCCTATGATTCTGTGAAGAGGATATAGACAGGATGCAACTGACAGGTTCAAACAGCATGTCTTCTTGGGGCTTACATAACTGAAGTGTTTCTAATACCAAACTGGGGCTTTCTTGAGTCACTGTAAAGATCTAGTTACAGCTGCTTTTCAGAGAGAGAACTCAGTTAAGACATAGGGTCTGATTTTTGATCTTTTAAATCTCACCAGTGAGTCCTGCTCCCAACATGCACTGACTACTGAGATTTTGTCTAACACCTTCACAGCTATTGCAAAAACTATGGAAATGTCAGTAAGGGTGTGACTCCTATTACACTGGCAAGAGACAACTGTTGGTCAGAGTGATAGAAAAAGCTACTGTGAAAAGCTTGCCTTTCTGTCATGTTAATCTCCCTTCCCTCAGTCCCCTGGCTAGTTCTGGCTAGTATGAAGGAAGCAAGCTCCAATAGACGTTCACTGAAGGCAGGAAAAGCTGTACTATCTCCAGGGATATGAAGACATTCGTCTGAGATTATATCTCAGGTCACGTGCCAGCACTAGTGACACAGCAGTATTCTGCCTAGTTTTAAAATGGATAAAACCCTGATGCTACTCCTGAATCACACCATAATTGATGCTCAACTTATAGTACAAAGTGTTGTGACTGTAATGGCTATAAGGATTCTCATGAACATCGTGTGTGATGGAGGGCAAGTGGCTGAATGATCAGGAGTTTAGACAGTTCAGTAAGGGAGGTAAAAGGAGGATGTAGAGGGGATTCATTTGGAGAGAGCAGTTTAGTTGGAAAAAGAAAAAAAGAAAAAGTAAATAAATTTAGATCAGAGGATGAGGGAAAGAAACATCTTGGTTACAGTTCATTAGGTTCCATGATTAACTTGGAGAAATAACACATCTTCATGCTAATACAATAGCTCTGTACTAAGCAGTTTTATCAGCATGTCCTTGCAAATACTTAGACAGACATGTATACACACAGAATCGCCATAGATTTCCCTGTTGTGCTTGTCACCAACCTGCAGTTCAGCTAAAGGGATAAAAAGGAGAGCCCAAAGGGATCCTGTGCTACAATATAATGACAATAGCATGGGGCAATTTTCTAAAGTTTTAGATTGGGATTAAAACAAACACTAAATACAAAATATGCAAAACAAAGCCTGTACTACCTATATTCTATCTGGAAAACTTCAGGCATTTCGTCAAATTTCTAATAAGTCTTTTCAGAAATTCAAGAGTTAACACAAAATGGGTGGTGATACACTGAAGTTCTGAGAGTTATCCAAGGTCAGCGGTAGCTACGGTAAAAAGAAAACAATATTTATGTGCTTTTTGTATGCAGAACAGACAATAACCTTTAAAAAAACTGACTTTCAAAAGACTTGGGATAGATTCAGGGAAGCAAATCCAGCTTTTGGCACCAGTGTCATGCTGCCAAGGCCTCAAGGCTTTGACACAATTCATCCTGAATTTGACTGGCTGTTGATGAGAAACTCCTTCCCATGCTGTGCCTTCGAATTCAGTACTTAGAAAATTTGTGACAAAGTCTGAAATTAGTTCCAGCAGAAGCTAATGCGTTGTCTGAAAAAAAGTGTGTGAGTATAGTTTTCTCAATTTGCACTATTTAGTTAAACATATGTTGAGCAAAGGGAAATAAAGATTAACAATGAAAATATATACTACTATGGACCATCAGCATGAAAATAGCTGTCAGATAAAGTATTTTGTTAAAATTGAGATGTCTTTTTCCACATGGTAAGACTTATCAATGAAGTAAAAAACAAACAAGCTACTCTGTCATGCAAAAAAAACCGTGTTCAGCATAAGGAGGTAAAGCACTTACAGGGGAGGTCAGCACTTATAGCTGTCTGCATCATTATGTCTCAAAGCCAATGCCACCCACATGGCTACCAGTGCTCAGGGTCACATTGGCAGGTCAGGCAGGGAGGGGAAGTACTGCAGAGGTCTAAGAAAAATCAGGAGCAAGAAGTTAACAAAGATGATGCCATATGGAACCCTGCTAACCTGTCATTAATGGTATTTGAAAGAAAAAGGAAAGACGATGCATACAGAAAGGGAGAATAGAAATATTAAAAGGTGAAGCTCGTAGCGTGACTGGAAAAAAATCTCAAAAGGAAAAAAAAAGAGAGATGGGATAAGCAGTTTTGCCCTTGGAAATAAGTGCTCGCTAAGTCCTTACTCAAGTACAAGTGGAACAGCTCTAGTACTCTAGCAAAAAAAGTCCATCTTCTAGGTCTAAGTTTTAATTACCTCCATCACCCCATTGGCTGCACTACTTTTGATGCAGTAAGGGATACAGTTGGCCTTCTGTGCTACAAGTACACATTGCTACATATCCTCATAAGCTAACAAACCTACAGTTGGAGATGACTACTGCATTTTTTATGCTGTTCTCTGAGCCCAGTTTTACAGACAGTGCTGCAGCCCTTTTATAGATACTAAAAATCACTCAAGAGAGCTTTAGAGAAACTGGAAGATTGTGAACACTCTCCCGTGGCACCAAATTTCTCCTCCACTCTGTAAAAGAAAAATCTTATATCAGCACTATAAACTTACTCTGACAGACAAGAGCTGAAATCATGACCATGTCCTGTGACGTTCAGCACTTCAGTGTTTTCTCCACATTTGGCTATTGTATTATTGTTATTATATTAAAGCACCACTAGAATTGTATAATTTTTCCTCACATAGACAAAATGAGTTTTTGTTCAGCTAGTGTATCCATCTGAATCAAGACCTAAGTAGTATCTTTTTCACAACACAGATGTCTCAATATAGATATCAAAAAAAACCCTACAAGTACTTTACATCAACATGTAAACGTACTTATCCTAATCTAGGAAATAGAATAGGAGAAGAATTACTTACATATCTGTACTTTAAAGCACATGAATTCTTTTAAATAAAGGAAGCGAAACTGTCATAATGAAATTAATTTTTCCATCTAGCAAAGTACACAGGTTCATTATTGAAATATGTACATATATTTACATAAAATAACATTTGGCTTTTGTTATAACAACCACATATATTCATGGATTTATTACACCCTCAGTGCTTCAGTAATATGTTTCCATATCTAATTTATATCGTGCACACTTAGAAACTTGAGATTTACAAAATGTCACAGATAGATTATACCAATTTCCATATACAGTAGCTCTGAGAAATTGTAGACATAGGATTTTGTAAGTCTGCTTTCAAGTAAGGTCAACAACACCAGGGTAACTGGTGTCCAAAAACAATTCACCAAAATGAATGCAAGTTGGTTTGTCTCCACAATTACCTTCAAATGTCAGAAAACAAGCAGAAGTGTCCATCCCCTAGAAGTGAACAGAGAGCAGGTAAAGGGCCATGAAATGGAGAAGCCAAACTGATCACTCCTTGCTCCCAAAAGGGGTGGCCTTGTTTCCAGTTCTCTCTTGTCCTTCCTGAACCTTGGAAATACCTTTTCTTATAAATACTCAGAAAAATTATTCCATCACTTCACCATTCCAGCAGAAAACACTCTTCAGTTTGAATTGATGTTTTCTGCTGTGTTAATTTACTGCCATGTTAAAAAGTTGATTTAGCTCTGAAATATACAGACTGGTCAAGGGGAGGGATGCAAAAATGAAGACTTTCTGTCAGAAGCAGAGAGAGCAGGAAGAACAGATTTGTCTCTCTAAAGGGTAGTGAACTGTCAGAGAGCTTGTTCTGTCCAGAAGTACTTCATCCTATGTCTTCTCTGACAACATCAGTTCTGCCCTTCAGGAAGTTTGGAGTCTTGATATGTAAGTGTGATAGTTATATATGTAAGATATTTGTATGCTTCTAGTCAAAATAAGTGGCTGCAATGTGATGTTTTAAAAAAAAGAGGTTTTTAATAGTATTTTTTAATATTTAAAATCTTGCTACTTTCATAACTTAATATCTGAAGAGTAACAAGAAAAATGAGTTCTTAATCACGAAGTCACCACAAATGCTATTACTACAAACAAAGAATAGATGTGAATGTTTTATCTCTCACTGAAAACTTATTCTGGCTGCAAACACAACCTGTAGTTAAAAATATACTTTCATACTTCAGAGATACTTTGCATTCTATTGAAACCTGAAGGACAAGACTTCTAGTACCACCAGTATATATTGTTAGAACCTATCGATTCTACAGATCAGATTGATTTCCCCTGTTTATATTGCTGCAGTATACTTCAGAAATGTCAGAGCTAAGGAGAGAAGTAGAAAGAACAGAAATGAAAATCTTTAAAAATTTCAGTAAAAAATGAAAGAAGAGAGGATTGTCATTGCTAAAATCTCTCTAAGATAACTGGAGAGGAACAGAAATGAGGAAAATTCAGTAGTATGGTATTTTATTCATATCATGTCTGGTGAGAGAACTATTGGCTTCATTTTGCTACTTTCCAGATGGAAAATTCAGAGCATATTGGAGAGGTTAATAATAACTCCTACACAAACATCTGAATATGTCTTTCTGTTAAGGTTTAATTCATAATAACGCGCACAAACATGAATGCACAAGAAAAGGCCAACAGAACCACTTATCGGTGTTTACTCTGATGTAATGCCTCATAGAAGCTAGGGAAATTCAAGATGTTTTTTTTTGCAAAGTGATCTTATGATCTGCGGGAGAAGAAAGCACTTCTGCTTCCCCATGGGCTACCCATCTGTGCCCCTTCACCATGTGCAGTAGAAGAGTGATTCCCTCGAGCTACTGAGAGACCTGAACATAGACCTACATACATACTAGAGAATTACACGGAATCTCATTTGGTCTCCCTCATAGTCTTCCTTGGGAAGAAAAGAGAGAATCTTGTTCAGTCCTTCCTGTTCTCATCTCGCTTTGGAGATTGCTACAATCTGGACCCCAGATGGAGTAAGCACTTTCTTACAGATCTGATCTAGACACTTGCTTCACAGCCCAGAACAGAATTTCCTCTTCATTTTATGTGGTGTTTCCTATGAACATCATTAAAAGACTACTTCCTCAACATGATTTTCCAGGTTGTCAAAAAAATGTCCCTGAAGAAAGTCTAGATGCTTCCTTCCAGCCTGAAGATGCTCCTCCAGGAGCCAGGCACCCTTCATTGAATCACTTGCTGTGCACTTTCTTTACAATTCACTTTACCAAAACAAGAGACCCCAACAAAAATGAAGATCTAAGTCTACCCCATCAGGTTTACCAGAAAATAACTAAGACTACAAAGTCCCTCAGAGTGAGAGTTACTCACCTGCTCAATATCTCCATCACTGATCTCTTCTAGGTACTTTTTAAAAGGGTTGGGTTGATAGAGCTCCTCCTTTTGCTGTGCACTCTTCCCTTTCACTAGCACAGGACGAATGACACCAGGTTTTGTCTTGACAAAAGGATGGAAATAAAATGCTTTATAATTTGTGGAATATTTGTTAGATAAGTCAATTCCATTGAGGCTACGGTAACTATATTTAAATACATATGTATTCATATAAACAACAAATTTCACCAAACTAATACAGGCTTCATGCTACCTTACCTACTTTTAATACAGTCTACAGACAAAAGTAGCAAGAGCTGTACACAAGCTCGTCACTGACATCTGTTTTGTTGCCACCATAAAAATAAATGCTGGGCCATCAAACTATTGTCTCTAGTTTTTGCTAGCTGCATCTTGATAAGTTCATCAAGTCACACTTTATGCACAGCCACACTCCTGCTTTCCAATTGCAATCACTATTCTGGGCTTCACAAAGTGGTAACTGCAAAACAAGGAAAGGCAATGAGTGATGTGGTTAACATACGCACAGGTAGCAACATTTTAGGAGAAATTATTTCAGAGAACAAATACCAGAGATTTTACACTGCATTTTCACAGTATCTTCAAAAATTCACTTGGGAAAATACAAGCTAAGGGAATTTAATCAGTATGGATGGCTGACACATCCCATTTCAGACAAATCAGATTATTTAGTCAAGAAAAAAAATCTTGGTTAACTTTCAGCTAACTAAAACAATTGACAATTTACTTGTAAATTTAATATATCTCTAAGTTGCAGAATTCTTAGAGTCTGATGTATGGAGTGTGGCATAAACTCTAAACAGGGGCAAGAGGATAATTTTAAAATAGACAACTTCTTCAGTAAGGGAAAAAAAAAAGAGGGGAGATAAAAATGTGCGCATTCCCTCTGGGATATGGTAAATACTGAACTACTGTGGGGCTGTGTAACTTAATTTAAACTTCCAAGTAACTCAATTAGATTCTTCTTTGTTATGACTACACAACGGAAAATGAGGGCTGGCACTACTGTAGATGTAGATAAAAACAGAACTGCTGCCGAGCTCCCACTGTGGCTGCAGCCCAGATGGGCAGCTTGCCTTGCCCATCTGAGACTGAAACATAGGCACTGTCACATCTTCCATCCTCAGCACCCACTAGGTATACAAATACAAAGAAGCTGAATTGACTATTAGATTTATTATAAAATTAGCTGTGGTGCAGTTAGTAACACCATGCTGCCTGTTGTTAAGGTCAATACACCTAGGCAGTACATTTGGAAAAGAAAAGAAGTATCTGTAGAATAATTTAGTCATAATTAAGCATGAGCTTCTACACACATCTCAGATCTTTAGACAAAGGGAGGAGGACAAAAAGTGACCTTATTTATTATTAACCATCCCAGGCATAAATTTCTGCCCCATTGCTTGTGGTGGCAGTGGGTTTCATGTCCTATTACCTGTATGGAAACATTTTTCTTTGCTATCTGAGTGTTTGGTGCTCACTTTATGCTCACTAGAGCCACACAGCAAGCCTCTGGAAAAAGAAAAATAGCCCAGGAAGGCCTGGGGGGAAGGTGGCTCCTTGCTACAGCATGTATGAAAGTGCATCAGCACCAACCCAACATCAAAAGCAAATCTCTAAGCATGCAGAAAATGTAAAGCTCATACAACTGAAGTGTTTTGAATAGTGTTAGAAAATTAAGCTCAAAATAAGGAAGCTGAGATTGCTGGATGGACCTTGCAAACTAAGCTATGAATTACCTAGAAACAATATCTACTGTCTTCCACCAAGAACAGGGCAAGAGAATGGCTGTGTGAGGTGGATGGTTTTCTGTTTGTGCCCCTGTCCTGGGAAAAAATCTGCAGAGCCATGCTAGGGGCTGCGTGGGAGGAGACAGAGATAGGAAAGAGCACAAAATGTCTGAGAACAGTAAAGCCTAGGCAGCTTCCCTTAGCTTTGTGCTGTGTCACCTCCCCCCTTTCCACAAGCATCATCATCAAATGCGAAGGAACAAATTCAACTGAAAATAAAATAAGCCATGGTAAAGGTGATTTTTTTTTTTTAAGGCAAAGTAATGACTGCTGCAGTATATTAAGAACATAACAAGAAATGTTTAAGAAGCTTAACTTTGTGAAAGACATAGTGTTAGTTAGTGAACTTATGATCCATAGCTAAAGATTATTTCTTTGTAGGATTCACTTAACATTTGCCCTCTCCAGGATTTCCAAGAAGAGTCTGAAAAAATGAAAGACTTCTAGGCTTCAACACAAAAACAAACAGAAATATGTAAGCATATAAATGGAAATAGATAAACATAAAGGGAAACAACAATTATATCAAGTCATTATTCTGTAGGCAAAGGATATGTGGCCTTCCAGCACTCCCCTGTGCACCATATAACTACGCAATTAAAAATACCAGAAAAATGTACCTGAAATCATCAAGCAAAAGCTACACCCCTTAGGCAAGAAACCTCTTCCAAAAGCACACTATATAATTGCTTTTAAGGAAGCATTTTCTAAAAGACTTTGTGCATTCAGGTGCCGAGTGAGTCATATGTTTATGTCTGACTCTATTGAATGAGTGGCAGGCATCAGCCAGTAACCAGAATTTGAAATGCTTTATTAGCTACCCACCAAGCTATACAAAATCATCACTCCATAAGTAAAAGCTTGAACTCTTCCTTTGGTAGGGGGTGTTACAATCATCCTTGTTGAGAAGCAAGTTAAAGCAGAGTATTGTCAAGGAAGGTACTGGCCATCCTACAACTGCACTGAAAAGTGGTAACAAAAGATCATAACTGGTGTGTAGTGATGAGCTGCCATCCTATGGTTGTGGCTCCATTATCAAATTATACAGAGTTAAGACTCAAGATTATGGGTTCAGAATGTATCCAAAAATCACTCATCCTGCATCATCTATGAAGATCTGTCACAGAGTATAAAGTTTAGTGGAGGTACAGAGATGCTACACATGGATTTTGAAAGGCTTTGAGGAATTTCTTTCACCAAGGGCCACTTAGGAAACAAAACTACTGAGAAGTAAAAGAGAACATATCCTTAGGGCCACTTTGAAGGATAGAAAGCAACAGGTCAGAATAAAGTTTTAAGTTTCATAGTGGAGCGAAGTGACAAACAGATATCCTGAGAGATGTGCTCTGGAATGTGGGTTTTGAACTATAATTACAGATCAGACGCAAGAGAGTGGCTAGAAAGGTGACAACGTTTACTAGTAATATGGAATCATTTAGAGTTATAAAAAGAAAAATTTTGTGCAAAGAAGTGCAGATAGATGCTATGATACTGAGTGATTCAATGACAAAAAGACAGGTGAGACTTAACTGAATTCAACACTGATACACTCATAAGAGAACAAATAACTACATCCTAAATTTACACACGCAGTGATGAACTAGTTAACTCAGAAACTAGCCCTCACTACTCAGAAAATATCTCTTGTATTTATTGTATACATTTCTAAGCAAACATTGTCTCACTACTCCATACAAGTAAGAAATGCATGAACTACAAGGAATCATTAAGAAATTAATAGAAATAACAGTAAAGGACGTTATCACATCTTTATGTGAACAGAAAATGTAGTATTCATAGCTAGACAAGAGTGGCTTATGGTTTTGCTCTCTCAATCTTAAAAAGAAAAGCCTGAAAAAGGTATCAAGAAGGACACCAAGGATTGTCCAGATGAACATCTGTACTTCTCAAAGACTGGTCAAGCCATTTTGAGTTTTCAGTATAGAAAAGAAGTGACTGAAAGAGTGCTGTGGTTAATATCTAGAAAGTTATAAAAGATAATTGGAAAGTAAAGAAAGAACAATTATTTTCCATTTCAGTACAGCAACTGAGATGCACTAGCTTTAAAATGAGTACATGAAGTACCATTTCACATAAGGTATAATTAAAAAGTAAATCTTGATGCTACAGAATGCTGTAGAGACTTAAATATAATAAAATTTTAGAAGTAATTGGAAAAAAATCATAAGAAAAGAACTGGTCAAAGCTTAGTAAACAGAAGAAATTGATACAGGAAGTCCCAGGGATGCCATTAGTAACATGTAATGGGGAAATTCTCATCCACTTCCTTTTTTTTCTGACCAATAAAGAGTAGTAGATCCTATAGTTGTGGCATATGTTGTGACTCATCAGGACTCTCAACTTTGTCATTTAGTCCATGGTAGAATTTACAGGTCCTTAAAACAGGTATGTGCTTGATACAGAAAAAAAACAGTGCAGTTATATAAGATGCAATGCCACTTTTTGGAAAGCTATTGCCCGTAAATTCCTTCAAAGGATTAAGTAAAAAATAATTATTTCAGATTTCATCTTGTATGGATTTTGAAAGTCAGCATCAAAGATTTGTGCAATACATACCATCTGACTCTCTGCTACCACAGGTGTCGATTTGTAAAGATTGGCCTGCAAAAGAGTGAACAAATACAGTATTACATACAATATCATTGTGATTATAGCAATGAAGGAAGAAAAATCCAGAAGGATAACTCCCCAACCAGAGATCCTTCCCCAGTGCCAGTCTGCCCTTCAATAGAGTCTAAGAGAGGTGCAGCCTGGCTCCACCCCTTCTGGTCACACAGGTGAACTATCTTCATCTGTGCTCCCAGAGCTGACTGGGCCCATTCCCTAGGTGCTTAATCAGTGGTTCAAGCCATGATTCAACAGTTACCGTAAAATACCCCAGAAGCCATTAGGGTAAAATAGTGAAAGAAACACTAGTGTAAAATAGTGAGTAGGACCATATCAAAGACCATACCATTTTAAAAGCTGTTAAATGAAAAGTATAGTATTTTGTCAGCTGGTACAAACTGCTGTCATTTCACTATCAGATTCTTTTCAGTAATTTTATATGCTCTCTTGCCATTTGTATTATTATTTACATCCTTACAAGATTCTGAAGTGAGTATGAAGATGAAGAGTAACAACAGCCAAGATAAATTTTAATTGCCACTTTAATTGTAAAATGGCAAGATATATCATCATTTTTGTATAGTTTACTGTTTTATACAATCTGTTGAAATAATGTTTCAAGTTGTATATACCTACACACATATGTTTGTACTACTTTAAGATTATGACAAATTTTCCTATCCCTGAATCATAAACAAGCTAGAGTTTTTCTTTTAACTCAAATCACCCTCAAAATAACACTGTCCACCAAGAGAAATGTAACCAGCAGGTTGAGGGAGGTGATTCTGCTCCTCTACTATCGTGAAACCCACTTGGAGTACTGTGTCCAGTTCTGGAGCCCCCAACATAAGAAGGACATCGAACTGTTGAAGCAGGTTCAGAGGAGAGCTACAAAGCTGATCAGAGGGCTGGAACACCTCCCCTACTACAAGGACAGGCTAAGAGAGCTGGAGGTCTTCAGGTTTGAGAAGAGAAGGCTCCCAGAAGACCTTATAGTGGCTTTCCTGCACTAGGAAGGCAGGCTACAGGAAAGCTGGGGAGGGACTTTTTATAATGATGATTTTTATAAAAAACAGGATGAGGGTAAATGGTTTTAAATTGCAAGAGAGTAGATTTAGACTAGAGATTAGGAAGAAAATCTTTACTGTGAGGGTGGTGAGACACTGGAACAGGTTGCCCAGAAAGGCTGTGGATGACCCACCGTAGAAGCATTCAAGGCCAGGCTGGATGGGAATTTGAGCAACCTGATCTGGTGGGAGGTGTCCCTGTCTATAGGAGGGAGTTTGGAACTAGGTGATCATAAGTGTCCCTTCCAGTCCAAACTATTCTATGATTTTATGATTTTGACAAGTATCTCAATATCAGACATCATGTATACATAAATGCTTAATGACCACATGAATTATGTCTAGTGAAATTAATTTGTAGAAAGAAAAAATACTACTTCTGAAAGAAAAAAAATGATAAGGAAAGGCTGGCTGAAGATCATTTTTCCAATACAGCTCACATGACACAACATGGGGCTGGGAATCTCCTGGAGAAACTCACTGTTTGACATCACAGTCATGATTGTATTGTATTCAGTTCCTGATTTCTACCAGAGACACTGTTAGACTGGCTTAAAATGGGCAGCCCTTTTGTGTCCTAACAAGGAAGCAGAACAAGAAAGAGGGAAGAGCTGCCAATGTCCAGGGTCCAGTGTGAATACCTAGATCACCCCTTCTTTGACATTGATGCAGCGCATGGTGACACCCCATAAGAGCCTGGTCACACCAAAGTCAGCCCCCACAGTGCAGTGTGGAGAGCATGGTCTGTTAGCACAGTGATCAGATTCATTGTCAGACAAGAAACAATTCAGTCTTTTGTACAATGTATAAGAAGAGTTAGTCTTTGTGTTATTCCCAAATATTGGTTTGCATCAGTTGTTTAGAATGTTACAGGGAAAACTGGGAAAATAAAGTTTTTAAGGGTGATTTTCTATGCAAGTGAAAAAAATCTAATTGTTCCTATGCATATAAGTTGGATGTCTAAATGTGTTTGTAGGTGGATTTCTGACACTGTTTTGGGTCCTGAAGAAATGTGCTGAAATGGTAGTAATATATATTCTTTTCTTACAGTCTACATCTGAAATATGCTCTTTTATTTCATTAAAAAGCACTCTTCTAATATATTTTCTAATTACTATGACCCAGCACAATCTGTCAAGTAAAAATCGCAATATGTAATAAAATATGCATGCCACTACATTCAAGAAGCAAAATTGAATTGATCAGTCAAGCACTGTGCTGGCATAAAGTTAAATGGCCTTTATTGCTTTTGTTAGCACTGCTTTGACTGAGATTCAATAGAAAGTCTGAATGATGAATAGTAAGCTCAGATATCTCACCACATGACTAGATGAGCTAGAAGTAAAATATAGAACCTGCAGTAACTATTAGAGCTTGTGTAAATTAGAATGTTAACTGGGTTTAACATTGCAATAGTTTAACTGATGATTCAATATAGAAGTTTTCTTTGCAAGTTGGAATGTGTACATGGCAGAAAACACCTTTTGTTCATCAGATTAAGTAGTGGGTTTTCAGTCATCTCTTTACCTTGGAAGGAAAAAAATTGAGTGAACCCCAAACTGATGGATAGGCAAGAGCTAAAACACATCTTCAGAAGCAAATCCCCTACAGAACAGATAAATAACTGAAAACCCTTGACCCACACTTGGAACAAAAAACAACAAAGGATTGTGTGGACAATTCAATTATGAAATCATATTTGCACAGGTAGAAATATCAACAGACACTGCACTAAAGAAATTCTAGTCATGAAAGATTTGGTTAGAAATAAGTCATTTCAGGTCTCGATCACATATGCCCTAATGAACTCACTTTGTACAGAGGACAACACCTCACACTACTCCTGCATCAGCTATGTGCCAACAAATCAAATGTGTTAGCAAGATGACCTTCAAAACCTATGAAATTAGACATTTCTTCATGCCAAACACATAGTTATAAAAGTACTTACATATCTGGTTTCACGTCCAGCTGCTCTCTGCAATGTTGTCGATACCTTATACAAAATAAACAAATATATCAACGGTAAAGAATGAAGGACTGACAGCAAGATTTTCATCATTGTGATGTTATGAATTGCTCAAATTCAATTCTCCAGAAAGATTCATGAGATACATTAAAGTTTTCTTGAGGTGTTTGTTGTTTCAATTATTATTTCTTTTTTACTCAAAGACATCAATCACACTCCATTAGAGCTGGTCCTTAAATTATCTCCGAGAATTCTCCTAATAAAGTAAAATAAATCAGTAGGCAATCACAGGAATGGTTGCATTATGAAATTTGACTCACATTTGTTCACAAAAACAACTTTAAACTACATCTTTCTATTTTCTCATTTGCTGTCATCTGATGTCTGCTTGGAAAGAGCATTTTACATGTGAGTTTATTCACCTACCTTGCCAACATCTGACTCTGTGTTCATCTGCAGGAAACTTGGAGAAGATTCACATCGGCGCTGGAATGTTATTTTTGACAGAGAACAAACTTATTAACGATGAGACAAAAAGAAGGGTATTGAAAAGTCAATCCCACATACTGATAGGTTACCATTGTCAATGGGTCCTGCAGGACTTGATCAATGACAGCACACAGCTCTTCTGTTTGTTGTCTGAGTTGGGCAGGGGAGCACATCTGAAATGAATCACACACTTAACCTTTGCTTTTTGTTTTCAGATAAAGATTTGAGAGGTAAAACAGCACTACCTCTGAATGGTCCAAAGTAGTGCCTTCAGTCACATCAGCAGCCTTCGTCGGCTCTTCTAATGCCTGCAATTCAAAAGATTCCTGAGTTAAAAAAATTTAAAATAAGCTGTCATACACATTAAACATTCCCAAATATGACATTTGTCATTTTATCAGGGAAATATGCAAAAAGAAGAAATTATAGTAGTGTTTTTGAGGCTATCATCTTCTGATCTTGAATTAGAGAGTACATATGCAGAAAGAAAGAATATTCAAGACAGGTGAATTATCCATGCTCAGAAAATAAAAGTTTAAATTGTCATCTTCTTCTACAACACCCCATCTCTCTCACAGTGAATTACACACAGTAAATGTGCACCATGCACCACAGATGTGCCAGATGTGTGCCTGTCACACACCACTGGAAGACACCATTGGCTGTAAGAAAGCAGGCAAAGTATACAAGAGGCCCATTTGTTTCCTTTAGTAGCTGTTTTCTTTAAAAAGTGAATCCTGTTTAAAGATGTTGGTGATCATGGCAACAAAAACAGTGCTCAGCATTTTTGGTTTTTAGTCTGAAAACACCACTGTATAAAAAATAAGTATGCACAACACACTTTTTGTATACAAAAACATGGCTAATCTATACAACTACCTAATGTAGCTTATACAGTCTCCCCAAAACAAAACACAATCCTCTTATGCCTGGATATACCTTCAGCTTTCCTTTGTTCACACTTGGAGGAGGTCTGAGAACTGTGAGGATTAATTTGCCAAACCCTCCACTTTATCAGGAAAATCACAAGACGTCTGCAAAAGCCATACTTCACTTTAGTGCTCAGTGCCTTTTTCATCTTCACCCAAAGTCAGTGAGGCACAACACTCTCACTGTCATCACCCTTTTTTTTTTTTTTTTTTTTAATCAATCATCAAATAGATTTGTTATGGAGTCTGCTCTGGAAGCCTGCTGGTGCTTGCAGCTGGTCTACATACCTACAGAGGGACCTGGATAAACTGGATTGATGGACCAAGGTTAACTGTATGAGTTTCAATAGGGAGGCCAAGTGTTGGGTCCTGCATTTTGGTCACAACAACCCCAGGCAGCCCTACAGGCTTAGGGAGGAGTGGTTGGAAAGCTGCCTGATGGAAAGGGACCTAAGTATACTGATGAACAGTCTGCAGAATATGAGCCAGCAGTGTGCCCAGGTGGCCAAGGCCAATGGCATTCTGGCTTGTATCAGGAATGGTGTGGTGAGCAGCACTAGGGAAGTCATCCTGCCCCTGTACTCCATCGGTGAGGCTCCACCTCGAGTACTGTGCTCAGTTTTGGGCACCTCAGTACAGAAAGAACATGGAGGTGCTGGAGCAGGGACAAAGAAGGGCAACAAGGCTTGTGAAGGGCTTGGAAAATATGCCCTATGAGGAGAGACTGAAAGATCTGGGGCTGTTTAGTGTGGGGAAAAGGAGGCTGAAGGGAGAACTTAATGCTTTCTTCCAACACCTGAAAGGAGCTTACAGCGAGAGCAGGCCTAATCTCTTCCTGGTGACAGGTGACAGGATGAGGGGAAATGGCCTCAAGTTGTGCCAGGGTAAGTTTAGGTTGGATATCAGGAAAAACTTCTTTACAGAAAGGGTTGTTAAGCACTGGAATAGGCTCCCCAGGGAGGTGTTTGAGTCACCATCCCTGGATGTGTTTAAAAATCATTTGGATGTAGTGCTGAGGTACATGATTTAGTGGAGGACTGTTAGAGTTAGGGTAGTGTGGTTAGGTTGTGGTTGGACTCGATGATCTTGAAGGTCTTTTCCAACCTGAGTGATTCTATGATTCTATGAAGTAGGAGGGATCAACAGCATCTGTGGATTTTTGTTTAACAGATTATGCTTTTCTGAAGTTTTGTGGTTGATGATTATTAGCAATAAATAAAAAAGAAGGAAAAAAAAGAGCATTCCTACAAGCACTTTTTCATGCTTGGGGGATCCTGTGAGGGGTATATCTGGGCTGTAGTTACAAAGGACATATGTAAAGCTGGGAAGAAAATGGCAGGATCTTTAAGAAAAAAGAAAGAAGGAAAGAAGGAAAGAAAAGGAAAGAAAGAAAGAAAGAAAAGGAAGGAAGGAAGGAAGGAAGGAAAGAAGGAAGGAAGGAAGGAAGGAAGGAAGGAAGGAAGGAAGGAAGGAAGGAAGGAAGGAAGGAAGGAAGGAAGGAAGGAAGGAAGGAAGGAAGGAAGGAAGGAAGGAAGGAAGGAAGGAAGGAAGGAAGGAAGGAAGGAAGGAAGGAAGGAAGGAAGGAAGGAAGGAAGGAAGGAAGGAAGGAAGGAAGGAAGGAAGGAAGGAAGGAAGGAGCATGTATTTAAGGAATTATTCGTGAGTTAAATTTTGTTGAGTATAATTAGATTTATTCTCTCCTTGCCTAGCTATGACAGCATACATCTACTCACGTAGAACTGAAAAGTAAGTGTCAGGGTTTTTAGCTATTGTTTTAATAGTATCACAAATGATTCTGTGCAGAAACACATTTATGATGCCTTGCACCAGAAAGTACAGTAGAAAAAATGAAGAGTAATTTCTTTCCAAACACATTTCTTCTCTGCCCTGCAGTTCTAGACAATCTTGTTGGCCTTACAGTTGATACAGTTCCAAAGGAGAAGAGTAAAATAATGATTAGTTTTTAAGAGAAATATAATAATAATGTAATGTTCTCCCAGGACAGAAGATGAAAAGATAGATAATCTTTCTCATTTCTGCTACCTCATCATTGCTATCCAGCTAAAATTTCAGAAAAACAGATAGAGCTGTAGAAGAGCTAAACAAAAGAGCACTCAGCACTACATTTAAGGGCTGCATGTCCAGTTCAGATTCAGTCAGATTGCATCCTCCTCGTAAATGCAAACTGAAGTGGTAAAACGTAAAATGAAGAAGAGTCTTTCCAGTGCCTACTAGGGCAGGATTACCAACACCACCTGTTGTGGAGACATGACAAGTCTTATCAGGAATCTGTTGCATTAAGAAATTGCCATTAGTCACACATTCAGAATGGAGAACTTGATAAGCCTCTCAAAACTCACAAGATATTGGTATGTTAATGAAAATAACAAATGAATTGTTTAAGGAAAAAAAAAATCATATTTCTCTTTCAAGTGTGCCTCATTAGGACAGCAGCAGAAGGTGAATACTATCAAGGGTAGGATCACGGTAGGACACAACTACCATGAAGATTTTGATGGCTATTTCTAGAGGAACTTCAGTCTCATCTACAAGTCTGTGTCAAGAACCAAGATTCTGGATAATTGAAATATCAAGCACCCTTCAATTTCAGTAGAAACTGCAAACACAAATAACTTACGTTGTTTGGAGCTTCCACTTACTTAGGCAAGTGCAGCACCAAGGCCTGTGCATTCAGTACACCTCCTGAGATACTATCACTACACATACAGCAGCCATGCTATGAAAAACTCTGTGTTCTGTGCCCTTTCTGAATGTTTAAAATTTCAAGGTAATTCATGCAGATTTTTCCACAGTTACTTTCCTTCTATTTCTCTATTAAAAAGTTCTAGTTCTCCAAGAAGAAAAAAAGAAAAAAAGAAAGAAACCATTCTATTTAATCTGTTGTTAGCTTTTCCAAATACAACTCAACTTCTTTTTCTAGAAGTGCATTTTTTTCTTATTTCATTAGCATGGAGAAAAATGGAAGATTTAAAAAGTACTACTGGCATTTCTGATCTCATTACTGGTGTTATCATGCAATAGTGTTATGATTAAATTGAAGTATTAGTGTTATGAACAGTGTTGTTGATTAGCAGTATCAACAGTATTCAACCTTCTTTTCCTATGCTGATGACCTAACAATACCAAAATCTGAACATTCCTCTTTAGACATTCCAGCTACTTTATTGCATATGAAAAATATAGTGGGACCACAACTTAAAAGAAAAGTATAATTTAGAAAATTAAAACTTGTTTGTGACAGAACTTAAATAAGCAGATGAAATAGCCAGTTACTGAACAGACGATTTTGTCCTTGCAAAAGGTAACTTTGAGGGTCTGATGTACAAATGCTATTGACATCAGTGATGACTACAAACCCTCTTCTTTCCCTCAAGCTATTTGACTGTCAAAGCTGTATCAGAGCAGACAGGACACTAGTAAATGAACTGACCAGGATCTCCAATATTTTGTTAGAAGAATTAAAGCTCTTGACAATATATAGGAGATGTGAAACTTTGTTTCATTCTCCAATTAATGACATTAATATTGTAATCTGAATGTGACACAACTTCCTTCTTACTGTATCATGAAAAGCCTGTGTTGAACAAAACCCAAGAAATATCCTCTTATTTCTCTTGCACATTTTCTCTTTCAGTGTTTTTCTAAGACCTCTGCACATGCAAAAAATTTCTTCAGTATAGTGGATTTTCATGTATGACCAGTTCCCAGAACTTATTCCTTAGAGATTCTGGGAAATGATACTGTGAAGACCTGACTAATATCCTTTTTATAAAATAAATAATATTAAAAGCTGCAAGACCTCTGAAAGAAAGATGGAGCTCATAGCCTGCTCCCACATTGGCATGCTTGGTCATTTTTAAAGACAAATTAGGTCATGTGGCTCTCTAGGACTGCACAGATTATTTTTCTCTCTTGTCACTTGGTAAGAAAGAGCTCTAGACTTCAGAAGACTTTTAACATGGACACATAATCTAGATGCAAGAAATTCACTCAGTGAGTGCACTACAGAAGTATTTGAGGAAAAAAATACAGTTTTTTAATTGAAGTCTTCTCAACAATGGAGTTGTCAAATATGCTTTTCAGAATCAGGATAGTCATCACATGCTTTATAATAACCAATTTATTTAAAATGTAAATTGTAGTCCTCTACTTGTACTTAATTTATAAATACAAATCAGAGAAGCCAACAGTGATTCCATTTGCACTCCATCCACAGCCAGTTATACTTAATGTTTTTCAGAAAATTTAGTGGCTTTGTGATAGCTGTACTTCCTGGCACCACCTATCATACTTGTTTCATTTCATTCAAATATAGGTGAAGTTTGAGCAGAACATATTCAGCTAGTCCAAAGCCCACATGCACGGGTTTCCTTCCAATCTAAATGACACACAGAGAAAAAAGCTTGCACACTCCATCAGCATGCATTTGGGATGTGTATCTGGACAAATGCAGTAATTCCAAACTCCCATGCATTAGAGCTTGCTCTTCTAAAGATTACTGATTTTCACAAAGAAGTCTTGTTTGTTTTGCAGTTCCAGGAAGTCCAACAGAGTTTTGGACTTACAACTCCAATTTGAAATAATTCTGAATATACAGTATCCAGTGACTGTCTACTTAGTTAGGAATTTCTCTATAACTCCCTGAAATAGTCTCTTCATGAAAATCTGTTTTGAGTGGAAGATATTTTTATTGATATTTGATAAATAAAATATCTAAATCATAAGTATATTAGTTTTGAAAAAGATCTGATTGGGACTGAAATTTTGAATTTGATTATGATCTTATCTCTATAACTGTGGAAAATATTCAAAAGTTAATGCCAGCAGAGGAGTGATTCATCAATTCATTAGTGAGGCCAGAAGGAACCATAGTGATCACCTAACCTGACTTTTTCTGTAAACCACAGAACTGCCTGAAGTTACCAGTAAACTGTCATGCCTTGATTGTTTAATTTCTATCATGAAGAGCCCATTTCACTCTCTGGATTTTCTTCTTCAAATATTTAATTATTTTTTTCTATTGAAATTTTGTCTTATGCCTAGATTAAACTCCTGCTCTCTCGCCTAGCCAGCAGGTGCTATTGTCTATTTTGTTGAAGAGTTCATTATCATTGCCTCGTCACTTTGAATTTGTAGTGATTATGGCACTGTTAGCTGGCCACAGCTACCTCAACCTCCTTATCACCATCTCTGCTGTCCTTCCTCCAAGCACCGTGAGATGGTGCCTGTGCTGTCCCAGTATCTCCTACCTGTCTCACTTCTAGACAAGCTCCTAGCTCAACTTCCCTGGGAAATAGTCCACTGTTGTTGCCTCCAGGGAGAATCTGACCATGATGTTGAGCATAAGTAGCTTAAAAATATGGCTTTGCTTCAGCCACATCCTCCAAGAAAAATCCTGGATTTGCTTTTTCCTGGGCAGAGGACAGGTGATATGAAGAACATCAAGTTCATATAAGCTGAGATAGATGGTATGCACATCACTTACTGGATTTGATGACATTAAGCCACTTCTGGGATTGCCAAAGTATGTGCATACATAGTTAGTAAGCTTTTCCTTTGCTTCTAATGAGTACAGATTTGAATGATTCATTTAGACAGAGAGTACTGAAGGATCAAAATATGTCCAAAAGAAGTTGTGTAGATGATTATAGCGTAACAGTTTCATAAGGAGAAGCTAAAAAATCATGGCTCAAGTTAAAGTATTTACGCACATATAAAAGGAAAAATTAGACACCTGGAGACAATTTTGAGGCAAACAAAACATTTTACCTTACACGACATCAGTGACAGTTTTCTTTCATGTGATCTAATTATTATTTTACATGAAATGTCACTAGATCACATGCATAATGGATCTGATAAAACTCCTTTCTCAAGACTACTCAAAATAAGTAACATAATTGCACAGTGCAAAACAAGTTTGACTTCAGAAAATTTGCATTTCTAGTTCAATCACACAGCAAAATACTTTCTTTCAGCATTTAAGCAGATGAAGAATTCCTAATACGCATTATGTTCAGTAGTTTCTCTGCCTTGACAGGACTTCCTTTCAACTAAAAGAAATGTCACTCAAAATGATCATTTCCAAACAACCTTTATCTCTGTGTATCATGTATCAATGAATTCTTTTCAAAGTCCAACCTGAAGTGGTATCTCAGAAAACAGCATAATGCTTCCAGCCACTAACAGGCTCTCTGCCCTCCAAAAGACCTCCCAGAATATATGGAGAATGAGCGTAGGATCCCCTGAAACAAATATTTTCCTTTTCTGATCCACTTCCATTGCATGCTAATGTAGACATTGTCTCACCTGGCATGTTCAAGATTTAAGTAAAAGAAAGTTTGTGTTTTATGCAAGTGATGAATACATTCATTCAAGGTTAAACAAGTATCGGAAAAGAAGGAATCTCCTATTTTTGAAAAAAAGAAAGATGCCATCTTGTTTAAGTCATTTAAGTGATAAATGCTAGGTCGTAATCAATAATATCTCAAGGGCAAAATGATCATCTTCAAAATCCTTTATGCAGAGCAAAATTCATACTCTCCAATGTCTTTAAGCTCTGTAAAATTATAGTGAAATCAACTCAGCTGTGCATGTAAAAGCATATTTAGATGTGCACTTAGGAATGCTTAATCTTACAGAAATTTATTAGAAGCTAAGTTCCTGAACTATGTCCATAGCTATACTTGGATGGCAGCGTGATTAAGAATGTCTTTAAACCATTGTGACATGGTTTTTGGTGCTAAGGGATGTGTACAAAGTGACAGGACTCGGTAGCTCAGGTTGATAGCTGGACTCAGTGACCTTGAAGAATCATAGAATCTAAGTGCTTATCTCACTTCTAATCACAGGATATTTTTATTTTTATTTTTATTTTTTGCAATGCTTAATGGACTACTCTTTTGTGAAAAATTAATTCTGCCAAAGTTTTTTAAAAAGACAGACATTGGTGAATACAGAATCACAGAATTATATAGGCTGGAAGGGATCACTAGAAATCATCTAATCCAACTCCTCCACTTTGAACTCCTCATGAAAAATTTAAACTTTCAACTTCCAAAGTTACATTATCAACATAAGAATTATAAAACACAGCTAGGGACTGTACTAGGGACTGGTGTCTGGATCTATCATACTATCCTGCAAGAGAGGGTTGTTATCCTAAGCTACCTCCTGGGAACGGACCCATGGCCAACACAGTCAAAGAGCTTAAGGGAGTTGTTTGGAAAAACAGAAGATAAAACACCAGTGCAATGGCTAGGACAATTTTCACAGTATAATAATATGGCCAATAAATTCCTGAGTCCGGGGATGTTTCTTGGTTGTTTTAAATTTACTAGTATGAGCACAGACATTGAAGAATCATTTACTGATCTACTGATGGATAGATCTAGGAATAGCAGTGCTCCAGATATTTTCAAACAGCAAAATAGACTTTGAGACATTGTCAGAAATGGCAATTCCCTTGGGACATGTTTGTTTTTGTTGCTGTTGTTTTTTTTACAGTAAATTTATTTGCAGAAATTCAGATTAGTGAAGTGCTTGATCTTCATTGCGAAGTGGTTGACCCTGAAAAACTGTTGGAATTACATATAATCCTGAGCAGCTGGCTCACAGAGCTTATGTTGTGCAATATCGCCAACAGACATGTCAGAGTATGTACAAAAGCTGAATGTTCTAAAATATGAAATGCAATTCCCATGCCTTTGAGCAAACACTAACCTTCTGTTCCATAAGTAATGTGTTTGTAGGGATTGCTGCAAATGCCTTGTAGCTTGTCTTGATCTTGTATTGCTAAAAAGGTAAACCAGAAAGCAGGAAGAGAAGTAAAGATGGGTAAAAGGGAGAGAGGGAGAAAGACACAGGAAAGGAGAAAGGCACGACAGAATGAAAGATGATTTTAATTGTCTCATAGACACATTGCCACAACACAAGACTTACATACTATCTAGGAAATATATACCTTAAAGAAAATCTAGTGCATTTTCTAAGATTTTAAAGGACTGTAAGATATATCTTTTGCATTTAGGAGTGAGGTAGGATTACATGAATATTCTATATCAGCAGCTTATCACTTGATTTTGACCATTTTCTACTGACCATCCTTGTATCAATATCAAAAAAGGCTGTGAGTTCATTCTTAGTTTGCTTGCAATTTGAAATGATGATGCAAAGCCACTTCTGCCAGTACACGCACTTCACAGACTGCTGCTGGGTGGTGACTGCTAAGTCACAGGGATGCCTGTGATTGTTGAATATGATCTTTCAGTGCTAAATTACTTGTCAAAGTGGACAGATATCTTAAGTAATATGGCACTGCTTTTCACCTCCTTTATAAAAAACTCTTACACCAAATTATTTCAAAACAAATAAAGGAACTTTTATACTCAAATTAGGTACACAGAAGTGACAATCTTAACCATAAAAAGTGTGTTGTTTAGGATACAAAAATTCTAAGATCTGCCTTAAAAAATATTCTTTTTTAATAATTTAAGTTCTGACAAATGATCCAAGGGCTGAAACACCTCTCCTATGAGGACAGGCTGAAAGAGAAGGTTCCATGGAGATCTGATTGCAGTTTTTCAGTGAAGATGGGCTATAAGAAAGAAGGGGACCCTTCAGCACAGTCTGTTGTGATAGGACAAATTCAGAAAATAATAGAATTTTCAGTTGTTGGTTGAATATTTTGGTAAGATTTACCAACATGAATGCTAGTAATTATAAAACAATAGGCCAAAGAATATGCCATACTTTGAGTTATTGATTTGTCTTTTTTATTTTCCCTTTTTTTTATATCTAATGAAAGTCCCTGATGGCAGAGGGGCAAGAATTTTAATTCAGATTAGAGAATTTTTTATCATCTTTTCACTTCTTTTGAAACACTGTAGAACACACCTTTGAAATCTTTCCTTATACAGTACTATATTTTCCTGAGACTTACTCACATGTATTTCTACTCAGAACTTAGAGACTGACAGGCATTCAAGAAGCCCGTAATCACATATACTGAGTGAATATTCTGTCAAAGCATATGGCAGTGCCATTATTGCTATTTTTACATTCATTTGAGCTTCAAACTTGAATGTTTACCATTTCAGAACTAAAGACTTTTATAGTCATGGGCATTTCTACGGAACAAGTCATCTCATTCTCAAATAGAAACCTGTAGAGGTAAAACAGAATCATCCTGTAGATACGCCATCACCTATCCATTGACTATAATAGAATTGCCTACTTTCTGATGTTATTTTTCAGAAGTCAAAAGACATGATTTATATCCAGTCTTCTGAATGTTTAGATGGCAAAAATCTATATGCTATATAAAGATCTGTTTGTTTCCCAAAACTGGGACAGATCTACATGCATTCCTGGGCTATATTCAAACAGGAAAAATCAATGAATATAAAGGACTAAAACACTGCAAAGAATTTTCTAACAAGAGCCAAACGTTTCAATTCTATTCTCTTCTTGCAGAATCAGCAATTTTATCTGTATCCAATCCATTCTACTATCTATTTCACTACACCAAGTCCATTAAAGCACTACTAAAATTGTTTTGAAAGCCCAGGGAGAGTATTTTTATTTCCTGAAATTACCCACAACTTAACACTTCACAATGTTCTGTGAGTTTGATTATGCTCATATTCACTGTACAGAATGGCAAAAATAAACATAAATAGATAACACATGGGAACATAAAACATTAAAATGCTAATACTTGAATACATTTGTAAACTATTCTTTTATTTCTATTAATTGGTACATGCATAAACAGGAATGCAATAAGAGCTCCCATTAAAAAATCTTTTTTGCATAATTGCTTTGATATCATGCTAATGAAACAGCTTGATATGCCTGTTGAAAAGTACATCTAGCGTCAAAATTCTGGTTTAAGAGGTGCTGGTTTAATAACTGTTGAAGCAACATTAATGTTGCAAAATTACACATGTCGAAGTTCAAGCTCTTTTGCACTTTTCCCTTGGAGAAATCTTACATGCAAAATTTTGTCATACATCAGCAATCATTAGATGGAACAATCTGCTCTTTGTCTAGTCTTAAAGTTGAGCTGATTGGTTCTAAAAAATCTTAACAGCTGTTTAAGACACTGTTTAATGGCTCATGCTATTTCTCTTCAATCTTCTCCTTTTTTTCCCCAAAAATATACAGAGATTTGAGGCCAAAGAGTTATCAGAAAGCCTGGTACCATTAACAGATAAGCAAAACAAAAGTCTGTTGAGCTATTTCAAAAACTAAGAATAGAAATAGATGAGAGCAGAAGGAAAGGACGGCATTGAATATACACTGTTACTAGTTACACACGAAGACTTAGCCTCACATTTTATAGCCAGAAGAAACTTTTCCTTTACTGAACTTGTGCATTTGATTTTAGAGATGCAGGTCATTCATATACCCAGTGGAACCAGCTTTGTCTGCACAATTAGAAATGGCACCATTCTAGCCACTCAAGCCTATTAAACTGGTGTGTACTCTCCCACGCTCCATATTATGGTTGGCAATTTCAGAAGTGCCACTGCATCACATGAACAGCAGAATTAGCAGGAAAAAGGACTGTTGGAAGGGCAGAAATTATTACATGGGCCTGAAAATGTAATCCAGGCAACAGCTATGTGTCACAAGCAGATAACTTCCTTATCATCAGAGATTACGCTGAAGACAGCAGACATTGCAAGTGCTTTGCAATCCACAGACTCAGTCATGCTGTTCAGTTTTGCCTCAGGGGGCTTTTTTTCTTGAAATTGTGACCATTTCATTTCTCTTTTCATCTCATTAAGTAGTCCCAACAGTGCATAATGGCACTATACAGCTGTGCTTGGCACAATGGCTCCTTTTGGGTTGTTTGGTTTTTAAAAGAACAATTCAATATTACAAATATTATTCTGTGCTGCTTTAAACCTCTCATTTTCAATTAACATTTTCCAAGCAGACCAGGTCACTCCTGCCACGGCCAAGCTGCAATTTTGTGCTGTGAGCAAATCAATCAAAAAATTATGATGGCCCTTTCTGTGGTGGGCAGCATGTTTCAGCTGTCCAAGGTGAGCTCTGAAATCAGCAAGAGGGAGAATTAAGGGAGAGCACAGAATGCAGAAATAAGATAAAAGAAGCTGGAAGGTCTTCTACAGCTCAGCTATCTCCTGCCATTGACTCTCCCCTTGTGCAGGGAAGTTTCTTTTCTTTTCTCAGGTACCTATCTGCTGTATATCTTGTGATCAGCTTTCCTTTCCCTCCCCTTCCCTTTCTTGAGATTTATCTTTAGATTTAAAAGGAAGCTTTTTTCCAGGCACTCCTGCAGCAATTGCCATCGTTGGTTATTTTCACTCTGCTGAGACTCTCCTGCCTTTTGGTGAATGACAAACAGTGGGAGTACAGCTGATGCACCAAGTGCAAGAGTTTCGTATTTGCAGGACTACACCCTGTAGGAAGACCTTCCCATCCTCTGTCTAGCATAAGATTAGAAATATCAGTGGAAAAGATGGGGAAGAAGCAGAGGACTGTCCTTGTCTTCCCTCTCTGGCTATTGGTTCTGAAGTCCCTGTTCAGATAAGTTCAGCAGGTCAGAACCACTGGACACAAATCATTCCTATCTCCTCCTATCTATCAATACCTTATTTTGTGCAAAAGGACTCCTACAGCATCTTCCTCATAATACAAAACATGTTGCTAGAAATTTTAATAGTAATATTTATTCTTCATTGCCGGCACTACCAACTCAATAACAATTCTTTCCTTTTTTCCAGCTCATTCATTTTACTAGCATTTTGCAACAACACAGATTTGATTTTTCCTAAATGGACAAAGAAGCATTAGAAAATAAGCATGCACCAAGAGTACCTTGGGTTTGATGTTTTCATGGTCAGGAGGCGGGGAAAAAGATTGTGGTGAAGTCAGCTCTTGGGGTCTTGATGGCAGTGTGCATGGTGACTTGTCTGAGACAGGAGATCTACACTTTAATAATGGTGAGGTGGCAGATTGCTGAGGTCTTGGAGAGAGGGAGTTAGACCTATAGTTTCTGTGCATCAATGAAGAGTGAAGCTGTGGTGGGTGTGAATTAATATAAGTTTGGTGAAAGGGTGAAGTAGAATCAGGATGTGAGAGAGACCACTGATTTGAGAGATTTGAAGGGGCAGGAGAGGAAGCACTCAGCTCCTGAGTATACTTTTGGTATGAATCTGAATTCAATGTAGAAGCTGAATTCGAAAGACCTGGGGAGAGACATGACTGCTTTTCTGTGGTGGGGAAGTCTTTGCCACCATTTCCGGTAGAAGAAAGCAAACGAAATGACTGACAGGTAAATATGGGTGAGTAAGTGTGCACCCTCTGAGATTTCTGAGGTGCCTGGGACCTGGAGGCAGGATAACATAGGCCTTCGGGGGGAGGAGAGGCTGGGTGTGCAAGGGAATGGTATGCTGGGGCACATGGTGGCACTGCTGGAGCAGGCACTGCAGCATGCCAGCCTGTGGAGGCAGCTGATTTTCTGTGGGAAGGGATGGGGGATGAGAGGGGACTTCGGGAGTCTGGAGAGAGTGTTTGGCCTGGAAGGTGCTTTTTAGGAGAAAGAGACTTTGCTCGAGGAGCAGGACGAGGCTTGGAGTGTAAAGACATGTTCTGAGCCCATCCTGAAGGCCAATATCCCTCTTTGCTGGGAGAATCTGGTCTAATAGGAGGGCTTGAAACAGATTTTCTGGGGGTTGGGGGAGTTGTTTTGAACTTTTGATCTATTGCAAGTGTTGAGGAACAAAGGGAGGAAGGAGAAAATGTGGGGCAAGAAGCAGGAGAAAGAGGTCTCCGCTGAGAAGAGCCTGATCTCAAAATGGCAGTCAAGAGAGTTAGTCTGGTCGGCAGAGGGGATCTAATACCTGACCTTGTTAAATTTCCTTTAGATGATGTTTGTGTACAAGGCTCATTTATACTACCTATAGTCGAAGATGAGCCATAAAGAGAGGGTGGAGACAAAGGTTTAGGGCTAGGAGATAATGCATGTGTGATTATATGAACAGGGAGAGGAGACAAAGCATCCAGTCTTTTGGAAGAACAGGAAAATGAAGGCTGGCCTGATGATACTTGAATTTCAGCTGAATGTGGAGGACTGGGGGAAATACACAGACTCTTTCCTGGAACAGAAGATCTAATGAAGTTTCCCATCTTGCAGACACAGCCAGGGATATGGCCATTTGGTGTTTGTATGTTATCATACAGTTGAGGGCTGGAGTAACAACAATTTGACGAAGAGCAGGATATTTTAGACATGGAGGGGGCTGAACTGTGGAAAGCAGACTGAAAGTAGAGAGACGAATCTTGCTTAGAAGACTCAGTTGCTGACTGCCAGTTGTTACGGGAGTCTTCCAGCGAAGAGGCTTGATTCAGGTTAACCATGGCACCACACGCTACTTTCAGATTAGTTGGAGAAATTAAGTGGACAGCAGGTGATTTAGAGGAAAGATGATCAGAGGTGGAAAGAGTAGAAATTAACTGGAGAAAAAAGAAAAACAGAAATGTTAATATAGGTAGAACCCGTGGAACTGTTAAGCATCTCACATTTCAGTCCTGTAGTCATGCACATAGTGTTTCATTAGTACTGCTTTGTGGGTTAAAAAAACAGGACTGCTTTAAACTTGTTGTACATTCTGATGGACAGAGCTGTAAGGAACTTGACTGAGCACAGTCAAGTTGTGTTATTTTACTTACACAAGATCTCAGTTCTGCTGAGATGTCAAAATGCCCAAGGCTACTGACTTTCTAAGTAAAACCCAAGGCAGTTGTGCCAGTGATGTCAAGAACCATGTGATGCAAATCTTGTATAATCATAACTGAAAGTGAGAACGTTGTAATATTGCCTGATCTCACTATACCAGTTCCATGGAAAGTAATCTCTCTGCAAATGAGATTCAACTCAACTATTCACTCATTAAACAACATCTTTTGCAGTACTGTGATATCAGGATGAGAAATTTGTTCAGAACAACCTAAATCAGAGCATCCAGTTTGTCTCTCACTCTTCTGATCTTTCATAGATCATATAATAGTCCTTATCCCCTTATCCACAGCCTTATAATGCACTAATAAAACAGTAATGAGCTGTTCTATGAATGCCTTTTTTCTTAGGTCTCTTCTAATTAGGATTTGTCAAAACTAGTTAGCGCACACAAGTATCTTATCAATGTTTTATACAGTTCTATGCTCTTAAAGAAATTCTCTCAAAATCCTCCAAGTTATTATGATATTGAAATTAAAAACTGGGGTATATAATATTCGAAGTAAACATATCAGTGTGAAATAGTGAACAAAGTCAACTGTAAATCCGAAAAGCTACAAATTATCACCTAACTTTTGACTGAGGAGTTTTAAAGTAGAGAAATTGAATCTAATACCTAAGAACTTCATCTAAACAAAAAAAAAAGTCTATGTATTTATTTGATAACTGCAAATAGTATGCAATTCTGTAAGACAGTTATACCAGGTTCTACATACATGGATTCCATGTGGCTTTGGCTCATCTTTTTAATTCCAATTCTTAATAGAAACATCTTCCCATTAAGAAATAGAAATTAATATAGCTTGATGTCATACAGTATTGATACATCACAAAACAAAAAATAACTATAAAACATAATTTTTAAGAGAGTTGGTGTGACAGCAAAGCCAGATACAAAGACCTTTGCTGGCTAAACTGTACCTGAAATGCTAAATGTGGGATAAATAAGCACAGTAGAATCCTGCTAGCCAATATGACTAAAAATATGTGAGCGTTTCCCGCTAGACAACTGCATGCAAATAGCAGAACCTATTACTGAAGACATTCTCTATATCAGACACCCCCAGATATGTTTTCATTTACAGTAATAAAAGCTAATTGTTGGAGTGCCTTTACGTAATCACAGAATCACAGAATGGCAGGGGTTGGAAAAGACCTCAAGAGAACATCAAGACCAACCCCCCTGCTAAAGCAGGTAGCCTACAACAGGTCACACAGATAGGTGTCCAGACAGGTCTTGAATATCTCCAGAGGACACTCCACAGTCTCTCTGGGCAACCAGGGCTCTATCACCCTTCCTGTAAAGAAGTTCTTCCTCTTGTTAGTATGGGAAGTCCTATGTTCATGTTTTAGGCCATTGCTCCTTATCCAATCGCTACACACCACAGAGAGGAGCCTGGCCTCATCCATTTGCCTCTCACTTTCTTTCAGATGTTCATAAATATTTATCAGATCCACAATCTGATAATTGTGACTTACAACCACACTAACTTCCCGAGTGCTAAGGTGTCTCATTTCAAAATGGAAACCTTATTTATGCAGTGTAAATAGTATGATATAAAAATGAATATCTGTGATACCATTGTACTGTATTCTGGATTGAGAAACTGTGACAACTGCTGAAAAAGCTACTAATAAAGAATAGGAAAAAATCACTGGAGATTTGTAAAATAATTTACTAATATTTAAAATTATGAAAAAATAATAGTAAATATGTAATCAAACAAAACTATTTAATACCATAAAAAACAGCATAGTCATACAACTGTTAATTTTGAGAAGCCTGCTGAATTTAATAATGAATGCTGGAAGATCATTACAAAAACAAGGATGAAGAATGAAATCCCTATATTTCAAAATGGAATAGATAAATTTCCCTTACAAAGACACTGGATTAAAAGAAAATGAGGAATGAATATGAGACTCTCTAACAAAAGAAGGATGTGCAATGACTTCTAATTAGATAAAACTTGGTAAGAAAGATTTAAAAGCAATTAGGAAAATGTTCATGGTAGCAGATCATAAATTTGCTCCTAAAAGTACAATGAAGAGATTTCTGTAGTCTTCTTCCAGTTTGAACACTGACCACATAGGTGGTCAGTCACCACCAGTATTGAGCCAATTGAACCACGATTCAAGTCTTCTGAAAAGATTCTGCTATTGTATTATAATGTTAGATACACTTACAGATGATCACACTCTCATTTCAGAGTCAGAGAAGCAAATCAAAAATGTTTAGAAGTGACCTAACAAGGCCTGTTTGCTGGAGCTCCCTCAGCTTCCACTCACGTGCATCCCAGCTGCCTCATCAACTTTGTGCTGTATTCCCATCACTTCCTCCACACCTCTCTTGAATCAGGGTATGGAGGGTTGCTAAACTGGGCATGATCTTACAAATGCAACATCAGTACTGTCACAAATGAGATATAACTTCCTTTGATCAAGGGATTTGTTTTCATTCAGGTTACTTTGGTATGAATGGATGAAGGAACTTGAAGAATATTTTTATGCCACATACATAAATACCCCAGAAATATCAGACAGGTCTCAATCTTAGTATAGAGCCTTTCCCAGAGGAATTTCAGTACATTTGAAATTGCAGAACTGAGCTATGTTTTTTTAACAATTTTTTCTGATGAGATCACAATATTTTGGAAAGGAAATCCTGCAAAAAAATATCATTACTGATAATCAGCAAAGCTCCAAGAGATGTGCTGATGAAATCAGAAAAGAAAAGAACATGACAAATTGAAAGCCCAAAAGGTTAAAGTTACATCTGAGAACGTGGCTTCATCTAGATCTGATATTAGATAGTCATGCTTTGATCTCACTAGAATTTGATCATGAATAAGAATATATGTGGGCATTTCTCCACCTCAGCCTGCAACGTGAGAGCCAGAAAGAGAGAGGGAAACACTGGAGACTGTAGAAAACCTAGCACAACATCTAGAGACAGCATAGTAAAATGAAGTGTGACCTGAGATTCACTTAACAGAATGCCGTTCAGAACTGTCCCAGCAAGGAAGGTAGTTTCTTCTTGGTGACGGCAGAAGTTTAGACAGCTTTCAACAGATTCATCTGGAAAAGCCAAACCAGATGACATGCACTGGTCAGAGTGCCAAGTGACTTTGACAGGATAAAGAAATGTTTTGGCGATTGATCCCTTTTAGTGAGCTGAGAAATTCCTGTGATCTGGTCTGGAGTCCCACTAAGGGAGCAGCCACATCCCCCTCACCCTACAGGGCACATCTCAAGGAAAAGAGCCAATCTGATTCTCTGTTGCATGCCTAGCCTCTCTTTGACAAATATATATACATTTATAAATAGTAAACAATAAAGAAAATGTCCCAAATATGACCAGAATCACTTCATATATTTGTATAGATATACAATCATGCATAAATATTTTAATGCTGAATGTATTTTTCACCCTTTAAATATGGCACAGCATTTTCCAGCATTAGTCATGCCTGTTAAGCCAGAACAACAGAAGATCAGAAGATGCTTTTTTTTTTTTTTTTTTTTTTTGATGTCCTGATTTTTTCCTTTCTTATAATGAATTCAGAAATTAATGAAGCTGTAGAAGCCCTCTGGTTCAGACTAAAACTGTACAATACAATGGTCTTCAGTGCTGATCCCTACTTTTCTCTTTCTGACAGAAAACTGATCATTAAGCCTAGTTATGCTTTTAAACAGGCAGCCTGTTTGGAGAACTTTTGGGATAGGAAATCTACTCACAGATAAATAATTTAGCTATTAAATCTTTTCCTACTTTTGCTTCATTTCTGAGCTGATGGTGTTTCATGAGAGAGTAAACCAGCAAGAGTGATGCTGAGAGCTGAAGAAAAATGGTCAGTGCTAGAAGTTTGGTTTTTGTTTTGTTTTTGTTTTTTTTTTTAAACAAAAAGATCTTCCTCCTATGAAAAGAAACAATTAGAGATACTGATAAAATAAAGACCAAGGAAGTACTTAAAGTCTTGAAAACATATTACTTAACAGTAATGAAGAAATACACTCTACCCATATTATGCCCTATGTCTCCTCACGTTCAGGTGAACAGTTAGAAGAGTTAAGCTTCAGTTCCTCATTCTGTGCAATCTGTTTTCTGTTACTTTACCAAGCATATCCATGTTTTCTTGTCAAGTCATCAAAAATGTAACAGTTACAGCCTATGTATTTTTCTGCAGTCAAACAAAAAAACAGTTCTTATAGAAGACGCATACTTAAAAATGCTTAAGTAAATTCATGTTTCCCTAGGACCATCATTATCTTACAAGCTGTCTGCCCTGCACAGATTTACCTCTGCATTCATTCCTGCCATGGTAAAATTCCCACTGATTTCACTGAGAGTTTCCAGGAAAAAATTAGTACTTCATAAATGCTATGAAGCTCAAAACAAGAGTGGATTTCTTATTCATAATTTTCTCCATCGAAAATCAACACTGAATTGGATGAAAAAAACAAAATAAAACAAAACAGAGTGGTGCAAGTTTTTTAATATATGATAGGAAGTCTTATTCCTTTTCAGAGTCAAAGTAGCCAGTACTTTCTCTTTAAAGTACTGATGAAGAATTGCACTTTCAATTGATGGAAACCAGTTGGGGTCAGAGGAAATGTCTGAACATTTCTATAGGAGAAGGATGTTGCTATTTTGCTAAAGGGTAAGTTTTACGACGGCATATACACCCTTTCAAACTATCAGTGCCCTTTCTATGGTGAGACACATTAAATTTTCATGCAGTAAATCATATTCATGCATTTTGAAAATGAAAAATTTCAAACTTTTTTTTTTTTTTTTTAAACTTTCCCATCAGGGATTTAAAATTTCAATAAATCAATATATGTGTCCTATGAAGATGAACATGAAACAGACCTTTCAACTAAATTAGTTCTTGACACCTGTGCAAACTCAGTGCTAACTAACAATTAGAATAATATGATTTTTGTAGACTTTTTCTCTAGAATAAAGAGCTGTAGCAGGTGCTGAGAAATAATAGGCCTAAGAAGTCAGATACCAATAATTCAAATGATCTACAGGCTCCATTGATTTCAATGATTTTAGCCAATTTAGCCTACCTAGGAATATAACACCATCTGATTAACTGGCTGTCATGATGTGCTGCTCTTAAAGGAAAGAAAGGAAAGAATAATAGAGATGCATTACTTGCTCCATTTATCTACCAGGGCTACAAGGAGAGGCAGTAAGTCAGAAGGGCAGGGATAGATCTTTAGAATACAAACATTGCAGAAATGGCTAGCAAAAGCACTAATTGAAGAATAAATTGGCCAAGCTGTTTTACAAAGAAACACAGAGCCTGTGTCCTGAAAGGTTTGAAAGCAAAGTTTAGTTCAAGAGGTTAATAGGTTTAATAATAGTTTAATAATAATAAATAATAATCGTTTAATAGGTTACCTGCTGGTTTTGCTGATCAGCAGTGCTGTGGGAAAGTGTAGCACTTGGAAGATGCCCATCGCTGGGAGGCTTCCTTGACTCCATGCCAGGAGAGACATGGGACGTAGCCAGCAGCTGGGCACTGATGGGCCCATAGCCATTGGAGGACCTCTGGGCATTGATAGAGGCAGCGCCTGCTTCATCCTCGTCGCCGGAGTCCGTAATCAGGATAAACTCAGCCTTAAAAAGATCATTCTCCTGCATTTCTCCTCTGCTTGAGTAAGATACCAGGGACTGGAGAACAGTTTGGGTGCTGTTTGGAGAGATGGCAGGCACACAGTCTTGCTGGACTCCACTGTTTAAGGACAGCTCATCAGAGGCTACCTTAGCCTACAAGAGATACAAGGGAAAAGATCTCAGTTAGCCACCTTATATTTGTGTTCTTCAAGAGAAGAACTTTGGCCTGACATGGTGGTTGGCACTACCCTACCAGAAGTGCAGAAGGTGAATGAAGAATTTGGGCTTGATATGAGCAGAATCCAGCCAGCCTGCTTCTCCCCAGGCAGCATCCAGCCAGTTCCTAATGCTGTAGGTGATGCCTCCCTGTTACACAAGGAGCAATGGTATACTCAAAGCAGAATGGGAGCCCAAGCCTGGTGCTGCGATTTGGGGGGAACTAGAAAAGAGGGTGAAATCAAGCTAAATGAGTTGTCAGATTGACAACTCAGACACAATGGGAAGGCACAGTGACCGTGGGATCCATGGGAGCAGACAATAGTCCTCACAGGAGTCTGGCAGATAAATCTGGGACAAAACCTATACATATTAATGAAGAAACAAAGGCCTTCAAGCCAAGGCATTCTCTGAAAAGGGCAGACAGTTTGAGGTCAGAGAGCTTTACCGTGTGCTTAAGCATCTCAACACAGACCACAATTGTTCTTCCTACTTACACTTCCAGTATGTGACTTCTCAAGTAAGCAATGAATGAGAACAGGAGTAGCTGGAGATATGATATGCAAATCACCAAATCAGTATGGCAACTGCCATGGTAAACCATATTACTCTTGGAGGAGTCGTGAAATGAAAATAATGTGTAATGCAAGAGAAAACCTGTAGATGGGGCTCATACTTGAATCCTGCTTGAGGAATGTAGTAACAGCAAGGTTCCACTGAAAGCTCCAGGAGCCCTGTGAGTTCTTCAAAAAAATGTACTGAAAAGTACAATAAGTTATTACAGTCGTGAGTTTGGAGGTGTTTTTGCTTGTTTGTTGGTTGGTATTTGATTGTTTGTTTTTACAAGTATTGCCTAGGTTCTAGATATTTAAGGAAAGGGAATAATCAGTGTTACTTGGCAGGAAAGTTTTCTCCGCCTAACAGCATATTAAAACACAGAGAGAAAGATGTCTGGAACACATCATTCTGCCTATCCCAGAGCACTGCTTATTGCAAAATCAATCCTGATGGCTGGAAACCTATATAATTTAAACACCTTGAGGACAATATTTCAGTGTATGTCTCTTCAAGAATGCCTGTTCTCAGTCTACATCTGACTCTTTTTCAGTTATAAAAGTTTCTAAAAGAGCTAGAGTGTAGTCAGGCCAGAGGAGTATGAACTCTTGTAAAAAGTTTATTACAAGGAAGAACACCAAGAACTGCAAGTCCAGAAATGTCCCGGGGGAGGAGCAACAACAGCAAAATCACCCCAAAACATGAGCAGGAAAGGAGATGTGAATCCTGTTTTGAAGCAGGAAAGGAATGAAACAGACACTGTGGACAGAATAATGGCTATTGGCTGCCCTGTCACAGAAAATCACTGGGACAAGCTTTCAAAAACAAGAAAGCAAGTTTTTGTTTCAACTAATGCATTCCTACACAGCTATGAAGAGAAGTACCACCTTATCTGGAAGCCAAAGCACTGGCATTTGCTGAAATATGACCATCTCTTGGTGGATTCCCATGTAATAGCATGCCTCACACACTGCCCTTGCTTCTATCTTCATCAAGAAGGAATCCCAATGCCTCTGCCAAGAATATATCCTTGCACAACCAACAGAGAGTTTCCTTCCTGGTATGCACTCAACAACAAAAATAGGCTGTTGAGTAGACATGTCTCGTACGATGATTCTGCACCTCTGGTAGACTTAGTAATTATAACCAAATACTAGCCAAGACACAGTTCAAGGTAAAATGCTTCAGTACAGGGATGCCAGAACAACATTTTACATCTCTTTGGAAGAGTGGAAAAACAAGCACGAGCAAAATTCTACCTTATTTATAATTTCTTGATTGCTCAGATCTTTTGGCTCCTCTGGAATTGTCACAAGGAATTTACAGACATCTACAACCTCAAAATGAGTGGGAAGTTGTCCAATGGATGGCACAAATGTGAACCTCAGTGGTTTGGCTTCAGATTCTTGAGACGTGACCTGCAAAACACATAATTAATTCAATATTATTGTATACATTTGTCTAGATTTTTTCAATCAAAGCTGAAATAACATATAGTGCTCTTGTGAGTTAGTTCACCAATATAACATACAAGTCTATTATTAACTATCCTTGTCAGTAGATTATTCATCAATCAATGCATTTGAGATCTTTTTTTCCACGAACAAAGTATTGCCTTGCTTATATCCATCAGCATCCTATACATTCTCATGGTGTAGCACAGAAGACAGGAGAATTGTTCAATAATTTCCATTTTCCATACCAGAAACAGAAAACCATATTCAAGTCACATTAAGGCTGCTTTGTGTAATTCCATTTTAGTCGAATGAAAATGTAAATATTTCACTATATTTGGGCATCATATAGCCCCTAGAGTATTTGCTTAACAGCTTAGAAGAAATTGGAAAAGCCTTTACTAAAACAAGAAGAAAAAAAAACCAACCACATTTTCATGGTAATTCTGATCAACATGTGGGATGGATTCTGTTTCAGGGAAAGCATTTCTCCAATATTCTTTATGCCACTTGGCCATGTACATTGAGTAATTAATTGTCATTCTTCTCATCTCTTCCTCCTCATACTACATTCTCACTAAGACCCTGTACATAGGGCCCTTTACATGAATGCACTGAAAGGGAAGGTGATTTCATCCAAATGTTCGGTTTTATCACAGTGCTTCCCAGCCATATCCCCCCTCCTGGAGAGACTGGACAGGAAAAGAAGTCCAGGCAGTGAGGAAACAATTATTTTCTTTGCCAAATATTAGGCTGTAGAACTGCGAAGGTTTCACAAGGAAAACATAGGAAAGTACAACACAGCCCCAATTACTAAATTAGATTCTGTGATTTTCCCACTACTTGTTGGTGCAGAAAATCTCTCTGATTCAAAACTATGGAATTACAGATTGTTTTTTGTCTTGTTTTAACTTCTGATTCAAAGCCTATGGAAGTTAATTGCTTTTTCAAGGATCTGTAATATGAAGACTCTTGAACTATACTGAGTCATACAGGAAAAAAAAAAACCAACAAAAAAACCAACAAAAAACAGGGCTATTTCTTTGACAGTTTTTTTTTTTTTTTCACTTGTTTGTTTAAAATGAAACAGATTTGAAAGCTATGGCTCTCATTATGCAGCCTTGCAATTTGTGTCTATAAGTAAATAACAATTATGGAACACAGTGGAATTATGGAATGCATTCACATGACTGAGCCTTGTGGATGGAACGTTAAAAATGATAAATACAGATTTCCTTTTTTTGTTTGTTTAAATTAAGCAAAATTTTGTTATTGTCTCTAACAGCTATCTCCTGGAGGAATCATGCAAAACAAAGGCAGGTTATTTATACCAATTACCATTTTTTGTACAATTAGAAGAATTCAGTCCTCTGAGCAACTTCCAGAACAAATTTTTATGTACTCACCCTTAGTTCAGAAAGAATAAGCTGCTTTGATGCTTGAAAGGAAAAGTCTGAATAAAAGGCAGCCATCTTACTTCTGAAATTGGCTTTTATATTCGCTCATGCCAGCAAGTCACATTATGCTGCAAACTTGCACCCACACAGGGGTGTGCACACAGACAGGATGGTCTCCTACTTTCCTCCTTTCCCCTCCACACAGGTGGTCAAGGAGCATCTAAATTAGTAGCAAAGGGGCAACTCCTAAATGCTCCTCCACAGCACCTGAAGCTCTGGATGTTATTTACACAAGGGAAAAACAGTATAAGTCTTTCCTTCTCTCAGTAGCTAAGGTATGCTCTTTACAAACCAGTGAAAAAAATTTAAATAGGAATATTTGGCACATCAAATGCCTAGTCCTTGCTCCCAGTACAAGTAAGAGAATATACCAGTACTCAAGAACATCCTCTCACTAGTGAGAGCTCGTCCCCGTAATGCAGCTGAGGAATGGAGCCTTTACACAACCAAGAAGCAGAATTACCTGCACAAGGGCAGGAATACAAATCATATTAGTATTAGTGGTTTCATTAAAGCTATCCATTACAGTCTTATGCAGCATGTGGGTCTTCACTGAAATTAGCTAGAAATGGCCTTATGCTTTCCAGCAGATATGTAGCTGTCCTTTCATATTCCATCTCTGGTTAGGAAATGCAGGTAGCCTGTCTATCTACTTCTGTGAGTATTTCACCTCTCTACCTCACCCTCTTGTCATGCTTGCTTGATGTTTAACATCAGTTGTTTTGTATATGTGAAGATTCCTGATGGAGAATAATAGTTACCACCACAAAATTTTCCTTATAAAGGAAAAAGGAAGAGAAAATGTAGAATGTTTGGATATAGCAAGCTCCCCTCCCACAAATAAATAAATAAATAAATAAATAAATAAATAATTGCGATCAAGTGCATTGATGTTACCAAAATTCCAGTACTTCATGTCCAGGATCACATCAGGAGGAAATGTGAACAAAAAGCCAAGTTATAGGGACTCTTCTCTCTGGAGAAGTCTGTGGGCTGACCTCATTGCAGCCTTCCAGTACCTAAAAGGAGCCTATAAACAGGAGGGGAGTCAACTCTTTACAGGGCTAGATAATGGCAGGACAAGGGGAAATGGTTTTAAGTTGAAGGAGGGAAGATTTCGGTTGGATATATCAGGGGCAAGTTCTTTACCAAAAGAGTGGTGAGGTGCTGGAACAGGCTGCCCAAAGAGGTTGTGGATGCCCCACCCCTGGAGGTGTTCAAGGCCAGGTTGGATGGGGCCCTGGGCAGCCTGGTCTGGTATTAAATGGGGAGGTTGATAGTCCTGCCTGCGGCAGGGGGGTTGGAGCTTCATGATCCTTGAGGTCTCTACCAACCCAAGCCATTCTATGCCTCTATGACCCTGACCATTGCATAGTAATGGAAAGATCTTGCCAACACTTCTCCAGAGTTCACAGAGCCTAATTCAATTTGTGTCCCATCCTGTCTTTCCAGTTGTGTTATTTTGGTGGAAAAATTAAAGAATACATGAAGAAAGCCTCACTGTGTTTGGCATAAACATATCATGAAATCAATCATCAAAATTGTTTGCAAGCTAAAACTGAGATTGGAAAACATATAAATTCATACGTGCAAGCTAGATTTTTTCAACTGAAAGAAGCCATTTAAGCTTGGTAGTATTAATATTCCCTTAATATATTTTCTTTTCCCTGGTCATTAGAAAGTATGAACAAAAATAGAATTACTGCATTTCATAAGTCTTAAGCTTTCAGATATGTGACAGCATGCAGGATTCCTCTGTCACCCACAGTGAGTGCTCCTAGCAGGTAAAACTGATCAGGTAGTTTAAGTTGTATCACAGAAACCTTGACAGTGAGTAAATATCACAGTACAGGCCTGAAAACCCATTATTTTCCATGGGGAAATTAAAAGAGAAAAAAATATTCTTTAAAAATATATTTTAAATGGTTATTTTCATCTTGCTGATTTCAAAAACAAATAAAATACTTATACATTCAAAATTTTAATACTTTTTAATTGGCAATTCTGCAAACTAAAACAACAAGAGAGAGTTTCTCCATTCTTTTATTTCTACGTTTTCAATAGCTTTCAGCCCTACAGCCTTTATTTTTTGTTTCTATTTCTTACAGAAAAAGAAGGAAAATTAAAAATGGGACAATGTGAAGCAAAAGGAATTCTTACAAGATATCATGCTGGTTTTTTTTCAGATGGAGAAAGAATTTTGCACCTTTATCATATATTCATTTAATTTACTGTATCTCTCTGATTGATCTATCTTTGATGTACTGAAGGAAAGGAAAAGGGTGAACTTACAACACTAAGTTACATCTGTTAGCTACTCCAGAATACAAGTGTGAATAATTGTGAAATAAAAATATTTAAAAATATATATTTATGAAATCTTCTTGTAGATTATTGTCCTTTCTTCTGATCCAGTAACAACACCAAAAGAAATTCCGTACATTTCCTGCTACTGTAACTACTGTAACCAATACAGTTATGGTGTCACATGCAAGTTAATACCAACGAATTCTCAATTATATTACATAATCAACTTTGGGCACAATGTCATAATTGCTTGGGTTTAGAAGTATGCTTTTATGTAACTTACTTCTTTGAAAAGCATAAATTGCATTCTCATATAAATAACCACTGAATATCCATTAAGGGACTACAGACAGCTGCATAGTATGTTTCCAAGTTTTAAAAGGAGAAAATTGTTTTAGATGGCTTCCATGACTTCATTTGTCATCAGTTTACAAGCAGGTTTGTTGCATAATTAACGTCATCAATTTACAAATGACCTGGGGTAGTAAATTAAATTATATTAATTATTGTTTTCATTACCACAGTATCTACAGTCCTTACTTGTAGAACATATTTTTATTGTCTTGGGTACTTTATGAAGACAAATAAATGCTTCTATTTAATTTCTCTCATAACTCTATATGCATTCAGCACACTGCCTGTTTTGTAATTTAAATTGAGGTCCCATTGTCAGTGATTGCTTGCCAGGATTCCCTTCTGGAATACAGATTGCCAAAGTGAAATGGAGTATGCTGGATCACATTACCACTTCTTCCACCAATTTGTTAATGTAAGCCATCTCACTAAGAGAAGGACACCCTGAGAAAACCTCACTGCTGAAATATTAAGTACTTTCTTTTGAGGGTGCTTATTTGTTTGAAGGGCAGAAAACATATGTATAAATAATACAAATAAACAACAAATGTGTGCAGTGCGACATAGAAATGTGTTGACCGACATGCTGCTTTGGTCAGAGCACAGATACACATGCCTCAAATTCCTGCTAAATATAGCTCTCTCACACAGGGCACAGCTAAAGCCATGAGCCCAGTTTGGAGAGGGGTCACCCAAAAGCACAGCTTGTTTTATGCAACCCCTGCTTAGACCATTTCCTATGTTCAGACTGAAGTTTGACTGCAGAACACATATTGTCTTGTACTAGAGACCAAGAATAAGGCCAGGCTGCAATGAATGAAATGACTGCTTAATGAGATGTAAGAA